GACATTTCTTAGCTAGCATGCATGCTAGACTGGGGTGCAGTTCATTTCAGCATTAAAGTTTAATTGAAGAATAGATACAAAATCTGTCTGGTTTTCACCCTTTAAGATGGATTAAGCAGCAATGCCTTTGAGCAGTCAAGAATACAATATAAACTAAGGCAGTAAACTGATTCATGACATGATGTCCTAGTTAACATGTCTGACATCTGAACCCAGCAGTTACCACATGGTAGCTTATTTTTCATGAAAAAGCCATTGTGAGAACCCATGGCTTGCTGTTGGGTACCTCAGAGAGGTTTGTTTTCAGGATGAGTTGTTGTGATGTCCAAACCTTGTAAAACAACTTCAACATGGGTTGTTCTGAATGGCTATAGAGTCATCTAGCAAGCGTAGAGAAAACTGCTGCCACTCTTCCTGATCTAGCTGGTGCTGCCACTGTCCTCCTTCATTAGTTCTCAAAGTCCTCCAGCCCATGATCCTATCATTCATGAAGAAAGTAGACTGCAAAGTGTCCTGACCATGTTCTCAATTAAAAAAAACCAAAACAGTCTTGCACAAGTACACAAGCAGAAACCCACAACTATGAAATTTGTAAAAATGTCCCCCTCTGCCTCAAAGATCTCCCTTGAAATCTGCACATATCTATCAACCCCCTCACTTGTTTGCCTTGAAATTGACATATCTTTACCAATGCCCTCACTCCCTGCTCTGCCTTGGAATTACAATCCCTATCACTGCTTTGTAACCCATATATATATATATATGACAGTAACAATAAAGAAGGAAGTAACGAACAGAAAGTATGGGAGTAGCTGACAATGACAAGAGGGGGATATCAATATGCTGGGCTAAAAAACAGTCAAGAACCCCACCTCCCGGAAAAGTTTGTGAATATGTTACCAATGTTCATATTAGCTCATAAAATTAATTCCATGTAAGGAGAGTTTCCTTCAGAATCAAGCACCCCAGCTGACCACTTGCAGAAAAAATATTAATACGGGCACTGAGGAAATGGGAAATTATGCTACAAAGGCACCCAGGATACATTCTGAAAGCCAGCAGGAAGTCCGAGGATAGTGACAAACTGCAGAGTGCGCAATTATGTCAGGTTTTTGACTAAATTAGCAAGTCCAAGGTGACTTATTTTCAGGATGGCTTAGTGTGATGTGTGGTTTGAACTGACCATGGTTTGGGTTAATCAATTGATCATGGTTTGAATCCTTATCCTGCTCCACCACCAGGAGGATACCACAAGCAAAGCAGGTCTTCTGTGTCTTCTCCCTTCCCATGCAGCCCCCTGCACATGCTCCAGATCAGCTCCAGAGAATCTCCCCAACTCTCAAGATCAAAGGTCCTCACTGTCCCTCAGACTGTTGAGGGGCCAGACTACAGTTTGAAAAAAATATGAATGAATTCCTATGCACACTGCACATTTAAAAAATTAATTAAAATAAAAATTAATTAAAATTTTTAAAAGAATTAAAAAATTAAAAAATATTTGCTCCACTCCCTGGGGTTGCAGCAGAAGCCCAGATGAGGTGGGGAAGAGCCTTCTTTGGGTAAGCCGCGGCCACCTCGCAAAGCCTAGGGGCAGCCACTTGACCGTGACAGCGGTTCACCCATTGAAGGGCACGGCTCCCACACCTTTCTTAAAAAAATGGATTTTAAAAGTTATAAGGTAAGGAGTTTTCTTACCTTCAATCCACTTTTAGCATCTTTGTCCCTCTCTCTTCCGCCCTCTTCTCTTCTGTTTCCTGCTCTGTATTCCCACTCTGTATATGCATGCAGTGGGGGGGGGGGATCCAGCGCATGCACAGTTGAGCTTTTACAATTAGGTGCATGCAGCAGCTCTCTGCTCAGTTTCAGAGAACGCCTGCACTGGCTCAGAGCTTTTGGACTTGCTTAGAGATTGTTTTCCCAGAGCAAGGCCAAAATCTCTGAGGTGGGCCAGATAAATGAGCATGGCGGGCTGTATCTCAAGACCATATTTGTAGGGGATGCAGTGTCCTTCTGCCGGAAGAACAAAAGAACCTTATGAGCTTTAGAGTACACTCCTGTACATGTTTGTACAGATAAAAGTCCTATAACTCCCAGTTTTCCCAAGTCTTTTCATGTTTAACTTTCATATTGCTCAAGATTCACAAGTTTTAAATACAATCCCTCCTCAAGAAAAGCAACCTAGAAGTTATATTTTGCTGAGATGCCTAGTTGTCAGTATGAAAAAATAAGCACCTTTCTCCTTTTACGAACACTACCACTATTTCTCCATTTCAGTGCAAAAGAATTGTGGCAAGTTATAATGAAGGATTAGGTTGGACTCTTTGTAGTATTTGATTTTATGAAACTCCTTTACATTCACAAAAAAGTAGCGACATAGGACAAAAGTAATATATGCTCATTATCTCAGACATGATTCCCTATGTTACACCACCAGAGAGAAAAAGATATAATGAGTAATGGCTATTTTTATAGTTACCTGGCCTGCAAGCAACTGTACAAACCTGGTTGAGGGTAGATACACAGATTAGTGAACATTTCCTATGACACATTTTCAATGATAAAGACAGGAAAATCCATTATGGAACTATTGTAATATACTGAAAGGGTATGGATGCCAAAAGGAGGGTTTTAATCCACTTTACCTCCTTAATAAAAAGAAAATTCTTTCAGGGTCTGAATCTGAGAAAGGGATTGGTAAGTTTGCAAGCTTCTCATCCAGGAAAAACTAGAGTGTCCTTCATGCAACTGTAATTCTATAGATTTCAGGTTACAACCTAGTAAAGCATTTCACTTATTTGAAAATAAGTGAAATTTTGGGGCTCACATGAGCAGAGCTGGCTGGAACCAGGGGTCAGACTAGAGGGCCCGGGAAGGCCCCTTCTATGTTTCTAAAATGTCAACATATATCCCATGAAGATAAAACTAAGAGGTGGACAGCACTGCTTTTTAATTTAATTACATATTATATCCCATAATTCCTTCAAAGGGCTCAGGGTGACAGTTATGGTCATCTTGGCATCCCTAGTCTGTCCTCACAACCACCTTGGGTGAATAATGCTGTTCCCAGTGCAGAATAGGGTGTCAAATGGAACTTACATCTGCCCAGTGCTTTTATTTCATCATACTTATGTACTGTATATGGTGCTAAAGACAGGCAAAATGTAAACATTTTTGGTAAAAAATTCTTATTAGGACTAGAGATTTCAAATTCCATGATTTCTAAGTGTAGCCTCCCTGTGGAAGCAAAAGAGAAAATTAGGCAGAATGCAAGATTTTGGTGAAGGGTCAAGAACACTAAAAGCAACTGACAGGCATATTCCTATAAAAGAGATGAAAAATACTGACAATTCATTTCGAAATATGCCTTGTAGCTACCTAAATACATCTGATATGAAATTGAGAGTTCCTCTTTTAGAAACGAAGTTTGAAAGGGGGGTTTTCTGAGTGACATTTGTGTCTTTTTACAGACTTAATAGACCAAAGCATAGTGAAAAGGCCAATGAAATCTCGCAACCATGCTGATTTTAGGTTTCATGCCATTTTCTCTCAGCTAACTTCCAGATAAAACAGTGTGCTAGTTAGGATGCATATAGTACTTCCAGCTATCAAAGCTTACAAGCCCTCTGTTCCTGTACCACAGATTGATGCAGCAAATCCTCAGTCCTCTTGTATTACATCTGCCTCTCCCATCACTTTTGTCCCACATGTCTATAGTGAATCACTGTATTTTATGAAATCTGACAAATGAAATAAGCACTTACCAGACCTTAAGTCCCTCCCCAACAATTAAAATAATTAATTTAAAAATGTACTAACAATTTGCTTGTGGGAGAGGATGTAATGTAACTAACATACTCTGGTCTGCATCTCATGGATGCTTTTTGGCTATTTATTCTGAACTCAACAGTCACCCCTTCTGTGCACTTAACAAAATAGGTTTTGGAGGGTTTTTTGCCCCAACCCGCAGTTGCTAACCATCAACATCTAAGTATTTTCAGTGATTGCTATACTCACTTCACCTTGTGCCCAAACCACTGTTTACTACAGCTTGTTCACTGAAAACAACATTTCTGCATAGTAATACAAAATGTTTATTTAAGGTTTAACAACAATTCATACAGAACAAAAGCAACCAACTCAATATATTTTAGCAAGTGGTACCATAGAAACATACATTAATACAAATATCCGCTCATGAAGTGTAAATTGTGTCTAACGATTTCCAGTACCTTTCTTTACACCCTAAAGATGATCAAAACCTACACATTTGAAATTATGCAGTCAAAAATCACTGGTTTTATGCAGTCTTGCAGAACAGCAAAAAATCAATCAGCAGATGTCACTGCAGCGATTCAGAGAGGCCACTGTCAGATTAAAGAATGAAGATTTCCAATAAATTATCTGAATTTTCCACACCACAACAGAGAATCACAGGTGAGGCCCAGAGCAAGCTGAACTGAGATCATGTCTCCTAGTAAAGTATAAAGAGCATACATGGAGATAATGAAACACACAAAAATGTAGTTTGCTCTTCTCTCTTTTGCTGCAGAGAACATAATGGATGACGGTGAAAAGGAGAGAAGAGAGACAACCTGGCCATTGGGTAGAGAGCTCCTTTCTCGCTCAAGAGGCCACGCAGGCCAGCCACGCTAACGGGTGCAAGCGGCCTCCACAAGGCAGCCTTCCCGTGACCCCGTGGCTGGAGAACTTGCCTCCCCGCCCCCACACCTGCTCTCCCCCGGACCAACTTTCTCGCCATCCCCACATGCTACCCCACCCTCTACCCTCCCCAAGGCCTGGTCCTCCACTTGCATCCTACACGCAGGCGAGGCCCTTCCGCTCTTCCCGTATTCCAAGCGGCCCCCTCCCCGGCCAGCCCCGCCGCGGCTTTCCCCTCCTCCGCTTTCCTCAGCCCTTTGCGGACACCCCACCCACCGACCGCGCCGTGTATGCAGATGAGATGCAAACGAGGCCCAGGGCGGCGACGGCGGTTTCCTTACCTTGGTCTCCTTGACGTGCTGCTTGATGCCCTCCGGGTACCACTGGACTCGCACGTAGCCGCGGCGGAGGGGGCTGCCGCGGCTCTCCTCGCCTCCGCACGGGCCTCCGGACTCAGAACCGGCCGAGCTGCCAGCGCCGCTTCCCCCGGGGCCGCCGCTTCCTACTACCCCCCCGCCTCCGCCGCCGCCTCCTCCTCCGCCGCCGCCGCCGGGGCCTCGTCCACCCTCGTCCTCCTCCGAGTCGGAGTCCTCGCCATGCATGACACGGACCAGGCCGAAGCGCACCGAGCCCCTGTACCGGCCGGACACCAGGTCGTGGGTGAAGAGCAGCCGCTGGGACCCGGCGGCGGCAGGGGCTGCCGCTGGAAGGAGGGTTGCTGAGGCGGGGGGAGCGGGTGGCTCCGCCATGGCGCGCGCCCCGGTGACGACTGGCTGAGGGGGAGGAAGAGAAACGGCAGCACTTGCAGTAGTAGCAGCAGCGGCGGCGGCGGCCGCCTGGCCCACACAGCGCAGTCACCGTCCGGCAAGGGCGGGGCCAGAGGAGCGAAGCCCCGCCTCTCATCAAATAGCGGCCGCCGCCGCTCGGGAAGAAGGGGCGGAGCGCGCGCGGAGAGCGGGGGGCGGCGCGGCGCGGCACCTGAGAGAGCCGGAGAGCGAGCGGAGCGTGAGAGGAAGTTGGAGGATGAGGAGTCCGCGAAAGGGGAGCGGGGAGGACCGAGGGCAGGGGAAGAAATCGCTAACTGAATTCATATCCTGGCTTCCTGCAAAGCATGGCGTGTGAGGCGGCTAACAATACATCCGACTTCAAACCAAAACGTAACATTAAACACGTAAAAAGCGCAATTTTTTAAAAAATCAAGGAATAGGAGAGGTTGGTGGCAAGGGGAGGAGGGAACAGAACAGCTCAGAGAGGAAACATTAATTATAAATATTGTAAGTAATAACAAATTACTGGGTGACTTTGGGCCAGTCACAGATTCTCAGCCCAGCCTACCTCACAGGGTTGTTTCTGTGGGAATAAGATTGAGAGCAGGAGGGAGAATAATGTAAGCGAATTTGAGTGCTTTGTGAGCTACAAAGATGGGATAAAAATCCAATCAATAAACTATATTTTGCCTTTTGACAGAGTGCTACTCAGTGGTGGCATAAAATCTGATTAAAAAGAAAATGAGTTAAGCATAACTGCCCAAAAAGCGTTGGTACTGGGTGATATAAAGTATCAATATTAATAATAATATAAAAGAAAAATGTTTAAACACAAAAAGTGTAAGAGAAGAATGTGGCAAAGAAGTGTGGGAGTAGGAAGATATCTGACAGTAGTGCAACTGAGACGAGGATGGAGGGATTAGTTTGGGAGGCAGAGCAATGCGATAGGAGAAAGTGGAAAAAAATATTGGCGTAGTGGTGGAAGAAGAGAGAGCCCTCTAGTAGTTCAGTCCAATTGGGTTGAATTGCTTGGATTTTAGATAATTCTGTTTGTCAGAGTGGCTTAATTCTGGTGTGACTCAGTAATATGATTCTAGTCCGCTCTTGCATTGCTGGTTAGCTGAAGGAAAGGGAAGGAGAGGCAGGAAGGGAAAGATGATAAGAGGGGTGAAAGCGGGAAGGAAGAGGGGAAAAAAACGGCCCAGAGCTAAAGTGAAACTGAAATTTATAAGTATAGGGAGCTGATGACAGGCGAGAGATCTGATTGGCTGAAGGAAAAAGAACAGCTACAGCCAGAGAGAACAATTTAGAGACGTGGAGGAAAGGAATGTCTACCTAATATGATTGAGTAAACTCTAACTGCTGTATTACTTTTGCACTGTTGAAAACCTTCAAGTATTTAATATGTGAATAGCTTGACTGTCGGAGCATCTTAGCTTTTCTAGCCAGGTACATCATCATTTCTGACTAGCTTTTCTGGTTGATCCAGATGAAAACACCTTGAGGGAGTCCTTTTGAAAGTTCAGAAGTTGGAAGGTCAAAAACGGTGTTGCTGGAATTTGCCTCTCACTAGCAGGAACCTAGTGCTAGTCCTGGTGAGGGATTAGTAAAAAAGGCTAGTAACTTCAAGAATGAACAGGTTAGAGCATAGTGGCAAATCTGGCCAGTGTTCCACAGTTCCACATAGAGAGAAAGAAAGGAATAGCGTTCTTAAATTTAAAAAATAACAAAAAATTTGGTCATTTGACTGAGAGTTCCTGATTATTTTTTTAGTTGCAAAACAACAGCAAACAGTAACTTAGTATCTACCAAATGCTTTGCATTCAAGATTGCAACCTATTTCTGATCAATATATTTTTAAAAAACTCATAAGGCAGCTCTGTTTAATATCCATGCCTAAAGCAGATACTTGTATTGCCCTGCAATAGAACTTTTGTATTGTATTTTGTTGTATTGTTGCAATACAACAATACAACTTTTACAAACTTACTAAAAAGAGCACATGATAGATGAATAGCAACAATTGCTCTCACTTTCTCAGGTATGAAGACAGAGCATGTGCCCTACATGACAGATCACAAGCTATCTCTTGGGAATAAGTACGGAGTTTCATGTTGCTAGGATATGCACAGCTCAGGAAATTCCCAGGCTAAAGGTTGATGGTTTACCCAGAAGATTTATTGCAATGTTCTATAACAATCCACACCCTCAAATATGACATATGGTGTTCCAAATGAAGATCTTACATTCATCGTACTTTTTACATTTTGATAACTAACAACAGCTTGAGTAAAGAATCGGTTGCTGTGACTTATAACAGGCAGATAATTATTTAGCCCTATTTATTGTGCATAGGGAGTTTGTGGGCAAGATTCTCCACCCTTTCCCTCCCCTTTTCATCTCTTCCAGGTCCTGCTGTCTCATGATTAGATAGGATACCTCTGAAAGAGATAATTATGGAAAAGTTGATGCATAGTGTGAGAAATAACTTTCTTAAATGCTGAATAATTATTTGAAATTTTATCAGCATTTCACCCTTTAGTCATTTCTGTCAAAAAACTACCAGGAACAATAGGAACAAGAGGCTCCCCAAACCCTCAGATGTTCCCAGAAAAAAATGGATGAAATTATCCTACTGTGTTACTATGCAAAGCAGATCTGGAGGTCCTGAAACTGAATGTTTTGAGAAAAAACTCATGTGAAGTATACCAGACTTGACCAGTATCTTCTTGGGAAACCCTCTTGCTCCATCTTGTGGATGCTTTGTTTTCTATCTGGAAGTATTTAGTCCAATGATCCTCTTGAATAAGAAGCAAGGTAAAATGATTCATGTTTGATGGATAATCAGCCGCGTTCTCGTGGCATAAAAGTAGGAAGTTCTTGGTTGCCTGTATTGTAGGAGGATTAGAGGCATAACATTCTGTCGTAAGATAAGTTATTATGTTTATATCTCAGCTTTTTCACCTTTCAAAGAACCCAAAGCAGCTTCCCCCTTCCTTTTCATTTTGTCCTCACAGCAGTGTTGTGAACCTGTTACATTAAATGGTCATATTCTGTTCCTCTGCATTGCTGTGCTGTTCAAAATTCAGAGGTGTCTGAAGACAAAATACTGTGACCCCGGATTTATTTCTTTAAAGGTACTCTTAAATATATGTTGACAAATGGTAATGGAAATACAGTGTGCTACATGCGAACAGTGTGGAAATCAGCCTTGCCTGCTGGTGGCAATCAGTGGTGCAGCTGCATGATGCTGCCAGCGCTTTATTATAGAAAAGTCTGAGTTAAATGGATGAACTCATTGTCCCTCTTGCAGATTCTTATAAGCAGGGAAACTTGGGTGAACTTATTTTAAAAACACTGAAGATCTTGCTCACAAATTTCCTATTTTATGTTTAGTTAGGTCCTCAGAATCTTTTTATTAATTAAAGAGTAAAAGAGTGCTATCTAAAGAGCCATCCTGGATAAAGAGACACCCCCCTCCACTGTCCCCAGATGAGGGCTCAGCTGCTTAATTCAGGGTGCAAGAGTAAGCAGCAGTAATTGCACCTGGAGAGTTGCGGGGCAGAAGAGAAGGATTGTACCAGGCCCCCTAATTCTTCCTTTGCTGCCCGTGTTAGGATGTGAGCCAAAAGCTGCAGCCATTTTCTGGGTAGAGAAGCACTTTGCTTAAGGCTGCCCTTGCCTTCCAGGTGAGAGGGGCTTATGCCTTGTGGAAGTTGGTCAAGGTCTGCCCTATAAATATCCTGCCTGGTATCCAATGTCTGGGGCTTGGGCTCTTCTCCATGGTGTGGCTTCCTTTCTGACTGGCACTTGCAGGATTTATTGGGTTTTTGAGAGTGTGTAGTGAGAAATCCCACACTGGAGAGAGAGCCAGTACGCCACAGTAGTTCTGGGTAGGTCATGGAGTCAACTGGGTGACTTTGGGATGTGGACTCTCAGCCCAGTGTACCTCACAGGGTTGTGGATGTAGGGATAAGGTGGAGAGCAGGAGGAAGAGAATGATGCAAACTGCTTTGAGTTCTTTGTAAGAAAAAGGCAGGATAGAAATCTAATAAGTTAATAAATCAAGGCTAGGCCTTTGGAACTAGGTCTGAATTCTAGGGAACCTCAGAAGATACATTTTAGGGTGTGGTATATTGTTTTTGCTTGAGATGTGGGGTTCCCCAGGGGAAGTAAGATTCTGGTAGATTTTATTTAGAATTGGTCTATCTGTTCAGGTAACCAAGTAAATGGTTTAGGAACAGAGAATGATGCTGTCACGATCAGTAGAGTGCAGCGGATGGGGAAGCTGACAACAGACCCAGTAATGGGCAGGGGTGTTACATCGCTTCATATTGTCCTTGCTTCTGATCTATGTTTTTGCTGTTTGGTGAACAGAAAGCATCTCGTATTCATGTCTTGATCCTGAATGTAGCAACTAGCATCTACATTTCCTCATTGGTATTCCTGAAACAAGGTTTCTCCTAGAAGGCTCTTAAATTTTGCAAAAATATTTGCACTCCTGGGTCACATTGTTATTTAAACAGTTCTGGGGAAAAGTATGCCTAGATGTGATCTATCCATATCTTTAATGTCCATGAAGTGCTATATGTTGTATAATTTTATCCCAGTCTACTTTGGAAGGACAATCTCTTTTTTTCTTGAATGTCAGTTTGACAGATTTCATTTTCCCAGTAGATGGCGCACTTTGACAATACAGTCTTGAATCTAGATAAGGCCAAATTAGTGTTGTTATTTCACAGTGTTAACATGTTTGCACATTTGTGATATAAGATCCACACTGATATTGCAGTAATTCTAGTAAAGGACAGAGTCCCTAGTCTGGGGGTGCTCCTGGATCCAAAACGATCTCTTGAGTCTCAAGTAGAATCATTGGCCAGGAGCACCTTCACCCAGTTATGGTTGATTTACCAACTGTGGCCTTACCTGGGCAGACAGAACCTTGCCACAGTTATCCACACCTCGGTAGCCTCCCAATTGGGCTACTGTAACACACTCTATGAGGGGATGCCTCTGAAGCAGGTCTGGAGACTTGGACTGGTTCAAAATAGGGCTGTGCAGTTGTTGTTGTTGTTGTTGTTGTTATAACATTTCTATGCCGCCCCTTGCCGAAACCTCGGGGTGGCTTACAACACAATAAAATACATTGAAATACAATAGAACATAATAAATTACCACTAAATACAAAAATACAAAAAATACACTAAGATACAAACATAATAATATAAAATTAAAATTAACAGTATAAAATAAGTAAATAAAGAATATAGAGGAGAAAAGAGAAGGAAGAAGAAGTTGCCCTGGCCAGATCATATATTTTAACAATTAAAATGATGTTTAAATAAAAAGGTCTTTACCTGGCGCCGAAAAACCAGTAACGACGGTGCCAGGCGGACCTCTTTGGGGAGTGAATTCCATAGGTTGGGTGCCACCGCAGAGAAAGCCCTCCTCCAAATACTTACTCTCCTAATTTCTTTCATGGAGGGTTCCCGGAGAAGGGACTCTCCCGCAGATCTCAAGGGGCGGTCGGGCATATACGGACATAAGCGCTCGTTCAGGTAGCCAGGACCCAAGCCGTTTAGGGCTTTATAGGTCATAACCAACACCTTGACATGAGTTGGTTTGTGCACCCATACTACACCAGTTCTTTATAATCATCATTGGCTGCCACTTGATGTCTGGGCCCAATTTAAAGAGCTTGTTTTGACATATAAAGCCCCAAAGAAGACTTGAAAGACTGCCTATTTCCATGTGCACCTACTCAATCTTTAAATTTGGTCAAGAGGTCCTTCTTAAAGAATCATCCTTTAAAGAAGCGAAGAGAATGGGGAACAGAAGAGGGGCCTTTTCAGTGGGTGCACTCTACCTCTGGAATAGGCTCCTCATGGTAGTACGCTTGGTGTCCTCATTGCAATCATTTCAGCACCCGGAGAAGATGGTTCTATGCTCCAGAATTTTAGTATTTGAATGGTGTTTTTACATTTTATATGAATTTATTGATGGTTTAGGGATGCAGGTGGCACAGTGGTTTAAACTGCTGTGCTGCTGGGCTGGTTGATCAAAAGGTCACTGGTTCGAATCTGCACAACAGGGTGAGTGCCCGCTGCTCCGTCCCAGCTCCTGCCAACCTTGCAGTTCGAAAGCATGCAAATGCAAGTAGATAAAAAGGTACCACTTCAATGGGCAGGTAACAGCATTCCATGCACTTTGGTGTTTAGTCATGCCGGCCCCATGACCACGGAGACTGTCTGCGGACAAACGCTGGCTCCCTCACTAGGAAACGGAGATAAGTACCGCCCCCTAGAGTCAGGCATGACAGGACTTAACATCAAGGGGAAACCTTTACCTTTACTTTTATTGATGGTTTTAGTTTACTATATCTGTTAAAATAATTTTATTGAATGGATTTATGTAGTTATCCAAATTGTGCCTTTTTTGTATTTTATTGGTCTTAATTGTTCACCAATTCACCAATATTTCAGACTATTGGTGTGGTCTATAAATTCAATAAATAAATGAAAACAATTTAATCTATAAAATTTAGGAACAGCTACTCCGAGTACTCCAGTATTTTTGAAAGGTTGAAGAGAGGTAATCATCATAAGTCTATATAGTCCTTTACTGTGATGGCAGAGCATGGCGAATGGCTCTTACAATGTTCATTGCCATTATAGCACATGTGCCATCTGCTGCTTTCATCTGAACTGGTTAAATAATTGTCCCTATATTGTCCTATTTTTTTGTGGACACATTCAAATGTTGTTAACATGCTTTGTTACCAAGCTATGCGTTTATGCTTCTGCTCAGTCTTCAAGGTCCTCTAGATCAGGAATGCAGAAGTCATTTTGGGTAGAGATCTGGAAGATCTACCTGTCTCCCTGAATGAGGGGTGAGCACTCACAGGTCCAGGGAGGCCCTGCATGCCACAAAGCCATCCCCTTCCGAGTACCAGGTGCTCCACCACTCCCCTTCCTTGGTCATGGTGGTTTGGTCTGCCCTGTGTCTCTCCTTGTCACCGGTTGGGGAGGACACCCAGTTGGGAGGGCAAGTGCTATGGAGAATCCCTGTATCCTTGCACTTAACTCAATCAGTGACCGCAAAGACAACGGGGATTCCTATTAGCATGCTGTTAAACCTCCCAGCTGGGAGGAGGAGAGGCACAAGGACATCTCACTGTGTGTTTTTTCTTTGATAGAAGATAGCAGATTCAGTTTCTTTTCTTGCTAGACCTTGGAAGGGTGGGGTTGAGGTGGGGAAGTTCTGCCAGCTGGAGATCCCCCATCACTGCTCTAGAAGCTAATTGTCTGAATGATATATTTTATCTCTAATGCACATATAGGTGCTCCGGTGGAGCGGGTGGGGTGAGGCATATAAAGTTGGAGTGTTCAAGCATGTTTCTGTCTTTTACTATGAAATGAATGTCATTGTTCCAGAAAAAGCCATAAAACTCTTTTCAGTCGTGCTGGTGGTAGTGATGATGATCCAGCAGAATGGATGTTGTGGATATGGGAAAAAACGCTAAAAAATTTACAGCCTTAAAAGTTTAAGCCTGCCATGCCTTGAAAGAGGTTATGTTGGCCTTCATTCTCAGCTTGTTCTCTGCTTCTAGTTCTACCCTTCGTGGTACTTGTCTGCATCACAGTCACTTTATCCTCCCCTTGCAAAAGAATTAAATAAGCACATGTATTTGCTGTGTCACCATACGTTTACCCATTTTGGAGCCCCTGGATTAGATCTATAGCTGCTCCACTGGTTGCTGATATAGCAGTTATGAAGAATTCAGGATGCAATGGGTCAAAGGCAAATGTAGGAGAACCACTGCATTTACAGTGCTGTGCTGCATTTCCTTTCAAGCAAGACTGGCCATTTCAGAGTATTCAGTCATAGCAAGGGCAAGTAATATATTTTACCTCACCTGGTTTTTGTGGGGTTTTTTGGCCATTGTTCCTTGGCTGGCTATTCACCTGTAGTTCATATGATGCCCTTCGCAACTAGCAATCAGCTAAAGCACTTTATCCCTCAGCAGAAAATCATGCCAAGAAAGTAAAGCCTGCTAGGATCCTTTTGTTGCCATGTCACTTGGAAACCCCTTTGCAATTCTCTGTGTCTCATGCGGGTTTAGAAATGTCTTAAGAGCATCATCACGTGCTTTATAAATAATTAAAAATATATATAAGCTGAAGAGTAAAAGCTGAAAACACATCAACATTCTCTCAAGTCGTCTTTCTCCTCTTTCCTTTCTGGCAGTGACTCTGCAAAGTCTACAGTTTTCTGTCTGGAGACACGGGTCAACAATCAGAATTGTAGAAGAAAATTTAATGCACAGGTAAGTGCCTGTAAATTTGCTCTAATTTCTGTGGTGCTGACTTCTCCAATTGAGCAAAATCAGATTCAGAAAGCAAATATGCATTTTTTCCTGTTCTATATGCTGTTGCAGTGGAGAGTGTTTGTTATGGGTGTTATGTTAAATTAATCATATCAGCTGAGTAATACAATAGACTAATTTGAAGGCAAGGTTCCTTCCACATTTCTGTGGTTATGTTGCAAATCTCGACAATGTGTCTTCTTACTAATCCCTGTTTGTATGTTTTAACAGCATCCTTGCATTAGCCAGTGAGAAACTAACTACATTTATACTGGGTTTACAGGCATGTATTATAGCCAAGATTTCTTTAGTTACACACCTTATTTTCAGTGCTAAAACTTGTATATTTAATTCGCTTAAATGAGTGAAACTTACTGGTTTATTAATACCATCAGCCTTGGGGCAGTGGAGTGGGAGGGTTAGGACAGAGGTGAAAGGTAAGAAGCCTGAAAGAATTCCCTCACCTCACATTATGATTTGTAACCAGGAAACATCCTTGCATTTTCCCAGTAGTAACTCTAACGTTGTTATCAGGAGCTGAACTTTCATGACAAGGCTTACTGCAGCCAGTTCTGTGCATGAACATATGAATGTGCATGTCTATAGAAACGCACAGAATCTTCTAGGCACGGTCATGAGTGAAAGCTGTCCAATTACGTGGCATTACCCATGGGGCCATGACATATAAAATCAGGAACAGTCTGTTCTTTCTGTAAAGCCTTGAATGTAGGGCTTTACAGCTGCACGGATCCTTCCCCTTTATGTGGAAAGATTGTTTAGGCCCATTAACTAAGAACTATGCTATCTTGGATGTTGTGTTTTGGCAGCCCATCTTTTCTATTATTTCATGAAAGCTGCTTGAAGCAATCCTTCTGCTTCCAGTGACACATTCTGCATGTCCGTGGTTTGCAGCAGTCACTTACTTCTTCTCTGAGGAGCAAGGTGCTTAGTCAATCCTACTATAAATGCACTGTCTCCAGATACTATGCAGAAGAAATCCTAAACATTGTATATAAATTACTGCTAAAATTAAATTCAAATTTAAGGAGAATGGATTGGATCCAGATTTATTTATATTAATTCCATGGGGCTTATGGCAGTTTTCAGTGCAAGTTATGTAAGCCCCACTGGTTTCAGTGGATCTACTTTAGGAGACTAAATGGTTGTATACACAATTGGAAAATTGAAAGACTCAAAAAATACTGTCCTTCAGTGGTGAAACTGAGATTGGGCATCTGATGCGTGAACTGTCTGTCACCCTAATCCGAATGTGTGCAAACCTTCCTATGGCAGCCAAAATAAGGCTTAGTCTGTACTGCACACAGGTGGTCTGCCACTTTTTTGCTTTCATATCCCAGCACCCCAAACTAGCTCTTCTTGTCACAGACAATTGAACCATAACTGTTCCATGATCTCCACCTAAGTGGCTCACAGCTCAGAAAGTATGTGTATTGTGGCTGTGTGTAAAGGCAATTTTGCACCAACCCCAAGTGGGCAGGGTTGAGCCTTAGACATGATCAGGTTTGGGTTCGCCTGCATTTGTGCTGCCACTTCCTGTCAACTGCCATTTTGCACCTGGTGTTAATGCACAGCATCCATGCATGTGAATAGTGGAAATAGTGACCACCAAGAATTTGTCCCTAGAGCTCTGGTTGGCGAGTGGTACTTAAGACTTCTGTGTACAGATCACTTGTCACGTCGAAGCACTAACCTCAGAGACCTGTAATAATTCACGGGCTAATCTCTTTCACCTGGTCTGTCCCTCAGTTCCCTTTCACTCTGCAAAGCACACTGAGAAACAGCACATGTAGAAATAACACTTTGAGCACATGCACGTATATTTCATCGTCATGGTCCCCAAAGAGTTTGAGAGTTATCACCTCAGCAGGGAAGCCACATCCAAAAACATGGACACCTACATGGATTAAAGAATACTGTGTTGTTATTCAAGTGGCACAGCCCCTTTCTTTTCAAAGTACCCTATCTGCTGGTGCGGCACTTGTTTCATCTCGCTTTTTCTTCACATGCTATTAGCTACTAGCCAGCTATAATTAGATACTAAGGGGGTACCCCTTGTACCAAAAGATAGGCAACCTGGTGCCCTCCAGATGTTTTGGACTGCAGCTCTGATCAGCCCCAGGAAGCATGGCCAGTGGTTATGGATTTAGCCGTCTGAAACATCTGGAGGAACCAGATATCTATCCCTATTCTCTTTTAATTCTACCTCTGGTACTTGATTACTTTGCCACCCAAATCCAGATTATGTAAAATTTCATGAAGGAGCCTCATTTGAGATTTGTGCTTGGTCTGGAGCGGTGTTGCTTTCACATTGTAAGCCCCAGACCTGGAGCTTTTGCCCCATATTGCCCAGAGTTATTAATCATGCTTGAGTCTGGAGGCCTTTAACTCAGTTCACAATACAGAAGGCACTAGATTTGCACATTTGCCCAAAATAGGGAACATGAATACATCGTAATGCACATGGCTTGTCTGTTGATTTTCTGGCAATTTCATAGCATGAGCATCCACTCATGGTAGCAAGGGGACTCAGCTCCCCCACCCTGCCCAGATTGCAGTCATGTCGTCATTCTGAGAGCAGGGGCTGCAGCCGCGGAGCTGCGCCCAGCCTGTCTGTGTCTGCTTTCAGTTTCCAGCCACTCAGCAAGACTCGGGCAGGACAAAAGGTCGGCCAACTGAGCGCACCTTGTTTGGCCTTTCTGGGGCCTGCCCTGCCAGGAAGTCATGGCAGCCTCATCAAGGCGAGTTCAGAAGTCCAGGACTTTCCTGCACCTGGGTCTGGGCAGCCACATGCCTCCCAAAACAAGAAGTAGCAGCGTAGAGAGGAGCTCGTGATCTTTCTAGTGCTGGTCTTGATCACGTGTTGTTTTTCCTGCTCAGTGTTTACAAACGTTTAAATCTTACTTGGCATGCAGATAAAGTTCTTCAGGATTATACCTGCAACGCAGGAGGCACAGCTATGGCTGAGCAAGTTTGCACAGGCCCTGCAAAGTAATACCCTCTTGTTGGTCCCATGTTGCGGAGGAGTCGGTGTTAGGGTCACGTGTGACGACTCAGCGGCACAGTCCAGTGTTGTTGGTATGTTAAGAAAATGTAGAAGGAGCTGTGCAATTGGACATAGCAGCAGTGCAATCTATGAAGGTCAGACTGGATTATATATTGTTTTATGAGAACCTACCACTTTTCAGCTCTTATAGGAGGCCTAAGTGAAACGTGTCCCAATTTATCTTAGTATCGGCCTTGGAGCTGTAATGGCTTGCCACTGCGTTTTAGAAGTACCGAAATGAAGGTACCTGAATCTGGTGTGTTGCATGTGGAACAGAGCCTAAGCAGCACTCTGCAAATTGAGAAGGTCACCTTGCCGCTCCCGCAAGTATTAAAGACCGTTGGAAAAGTGAAGAGAATCATGGAAACCACTGGAAGCTTCGGCTGTGAGTGGAAGGACATTGGTTCCCATGTATGCCCATTAAGAAGCTGCAGCTGAGTAGACCTGGTGTGGCTGTTCCTCAGGCTGGTGCTATCTCATGCCCAGGCCACATCACTGCGCGATCATGTTAGAGTTGTCTCTGATGCTTTCAGGGCATTTTAAAGTGTGCAATCATATAACTGAAGGAAAAGAACAATTCCAGCAGTACAATCCCAGCAATTCCCAAAGAGCATTGCTGACCCGAAAACTCAAGCTGGGCAACAGTTTTATTGTTAGCTGATGTAAAAAGTGCTGCTCAAAATGTGAAAAGTAAACCATGTAGTCCAGGCTCCTATAGACCCTGAAACCCCACCAAGGATTCACATTTCTCTTTCAGCTTCTGGAGACCTTCTCCACAGACTTCCAGCACTGCCCTCCAGAGCTGCTTTCCCCACACGCCTGGCGCCGTTTGGACTTCAGCTGCAGTAAACCCCAGCCAGCATGGCCAATGGCCAGGCCTACTGAGGTTGCAGTCCAAAACATTGGGAGGGCTCCCAGGTTGGGAAAGCGACCCTAAAAAGCATTCAACAATGTTGCCAAGATGAAGGAAATCACTCCAGGATCAATCATGTGAAACTTTCAGTGCTAGTGTATGGGCAACAATGCCACAAAAGAGCAAACTCTAATCTTAACACAGCTGTACTCTTTTGCGTTTGTTTCGCCTGTCTTTGTTTCTCTCATCTTCGGTTTTGTTCCCCTTGTTCCTAGGTTTGTTTATTTTTTGTAACCCTCACTCCAAATAAAGTTTTGTGTATAGTGCTTCTTGAATATAATACTCTTTCATACTGCTGGTGTCGGCTTCTAAATGTCATGGAATGTGTCACTAAGTAAGCACATGCACAAGAAAAGAGAGCAGGTGTGTTGTAGTGGTGTGTGCAATACATGTGATTTACAATCAAGAGGTAGCTGTGCAGCTTTGCCGCCCTGGAACGAATGAGTGTAGGCACCTACGTTTTATAGCTCAAGAGACATATGGTCAAACCCACACAGTCCATACTGTGTAGACTGTCTGATAAATACATCTCAGGGAAGAAAGTTTTGGATTTGATTCTTAAGAGGAGGCAGGCAGAAATCGTAGCTATATAAGCTCTATGTTTAGGAACAGCTTGTGCTTTCCATATAAAAAAATTAAATGCTGCCGTAGAGTTCGTTGAGCTGTCATGGTTTACAGCAGCCTTCTCCAACCTGTTGCTCTTCCAGTATTTTGGATTCAACTCTTAGCACTCCTGATTATTGGCCAGGCTGAATGGGGTTGAAGTCGGAATCATACGGAGGGCAGAAAGTTGGGGAAGGCTGGTTTTGGAAAAGGGATAATGTTACAAAAGCAAGGGGATTTATACTAGGAGAGCCTCCTCTAAGGTATTTTCTAGTTCATTGGTCCTAGGAAGAAGAAATGTCCTTCTGGGAAGCTGATTGGCAGGGTCTGAAAAAAACTGTCCTTCGTTGTTTGCTCCCAGCAACAGTTGTTTGAAACATGGACACTACATTTACCAATATGGTGAATAGCCATTGACACACCTGCCCTCTATGATTTTGTCTAATGATCCCTTCACAGCCTCTTAAGCCAGTAGCCAACAGTGATGGAGAATCCAGTAAAGGAGCTATGCATTGTGCATTGTATATCTAACCAGTATCAATGAAGCTCTAAGGACAAAGCAGACCTTTTTGTTGCTTTCTTTATATACTTCACTGGGCTGCATCTTGCTGTGTTATGGACTTGCAGTGTATTAACTGAGCTTATATCCAGTGGTAAATGATCAAACTTCTAGTCTGATCTTGCCGGTTTCTCCTTATGAACTTACTTAACTGGAAAGAGACTAGACCAAAATGAATTGTGTGCACATAGAAACAGGGGACATTCACAACAGAACAGTCAGCTCTGGGGAACAGTAACTAAGCTTGACCTTTTAGTTAGCTGTTTTTCCCATGGGCTGGTGGCAAAGAAAGCTCAGGGGTCTGTATGCAGCAACACCTTGTTCATTTGCTTTTTCAAAACTGGCTCTCCCCCCTCAAAAAGAGCACCCACTACTCTTAAGGTTACTGTCCAGGTTTTCATTGATCCCACAATTGCTTTCTTTTTGCCTCCTTGGAAAAAACCCTCCTCTTGTCCCTGTGTCATTTGGTTTGGCTGGTTAATTAACAATTACAGGAAAGCTTTCCAGAAGGCGGTAGATTGGTTTGACAGTATTAAGAGTCTAATTTTGTGTGGGAGACCCAGCACCTAGCAAGAGACAATCTGTCTCTGTCAGGATTAGGTCCTAAGAGTGCTTTTGAGTCATCCGATCCAGCTTTTGGGTGACCTCAGAGTAACCACTCTTCCACAGCTCACGTCAAGTGTATTAACCCTGCCTATCTTGCCACTTATCCTTGCCAGCCTGGCCCCAGGCTATAAAAGCCATTTCTGGTCCTTTCCCCCATCATTAATGCTCCAATGAATAAGGCTTTGCTTTTGTGAGCTGTACAGTAACCCACCTTGACCTCTCTTTCCGCTATGGTGATGATTATGAGGATGCTAGAAGTCATGCCAGATTCGTGGCATGTTTATATAAAGAGATGCAAACAGCCAATGCAATGTGTTATGCAGGTATTTTCATCCCTGGGCTGATTGTGCTGGAGGAAGCTGAGTGAAATAGTGACGTGGAAACTGCAAAAAGAGAAGCATTTGCAGAAGGCACGGAAATAAGGAAAGAGAATGTCTGTGATCAGTGCTCTGCCTTTTCTCAAACCCGTTCATCTCCGACCTCCACGAAGCTCTGCTGCACGCCAGCGCCGACACACTCTTCCTGCCAGCGAGTTCCGGTGCCTCACTCCGGAGGATGCCATTAGCGTGTTTGAAATTGAGCGCGAAGGTAAGACCCCCTCCCCATCCAACTCCTGTGTTTTCTTAAACATCTTTAACCTCTCCTTCTAAAGAAAACTGCTTCCATATAGAAGAAGCACTGAATTACTGGAGGCTTTTATTAAGCTGAATAACAGAAAGGAATATAAAAACATGAGCTGGGAAAAGAGCACTTTTCTCCCATCGTATCTCAGTACTGCTGTATTGCAAACTGCAGCCAGCCTGTTTAATAAGTATAACTCCTTAAAAAAAAAGCATTTCCTAGGAAGAGGAGGCTAGAATATATCCTCCTTGCACCTTGTTTCTCAGGTATATCAATCAAGTATGGCACATTATGTAAGAACCCCAGTTGTTTATTCATAGGTTATTTATAATTTTATGTAACACTGATGGGATATTGTGTTTGTGATAAAAATAAAATTTGGGGGGAAAGGGAGAATATGGCACATTATGAAAATAATCCTGATATGGCTTAAGGCCCAAGTGCCAAGCAGTCCAATGGTTGGAATGACATTGTGAGCAGGAAGAAAATAAAATAGATGTGTACAATGGGGGACAGTTGAGAGCCGTGCGCTTAGAAATCACTGGGGAACTTGCGGTATCTCAGTCTGGAGCATTAGGGAAGCCAAGTCTCAATGCACGTACTTAGGATTGATCCAGCATCATTTATCATTTTAAAGTTTCCATGGAAGCCTCATGTAAGTTCAGTTCTTTCCATCACTGAATTTTTGTGGTGAAATCTAAATTCAGCTATTTTTACTTATCTTTGGATGAAACAAATTATGCCACACTCTGCTGAGATTTACAATCAAATTTGGAAATAAAAATTAATGAAAAATGTATGTCAACACTACTGGGCACTGAAACCTGAACTTCATGATTCAGAATCTCCAAAGACCATTGCTCCCAAATAAATCATGTGATGGCCTTGCCTAGTGCCAGAGAGATTCATATGAAGTTTGATGGCATGTTGGTCCCAGATAGTGAGGCAGAAAAACAGAGTCATGCCCTTCTCACAGTTTCCTCTTGGTGCCTGTTCTCCCAAGAGGGAACAGACTATTGATAGTTGCAGTCCAGTGAGCTCCTGTACGTGTGTGCGAGGAATTATAAGCACAAACAGCAACTTTTTTCTTTGCTTGTCAAGCAGATGATGCTTCACTTCACATTCCAAGCTGCTTTTTAGGAGCAATTTTAAACAGTGCAGCAAGGGGCACTGCCATTCAGCAGCAGCAACCATGAGTTACACAGTCTTCTCTGGCTGATGTCAGATTTCAGTCATGCATGATTCAGTCAATATTAACTCAGCATTTGAAGAGCTAAGTGTTTAGTGATTTAGTCCATTTTCTACCTGAGGTATCTAAAATTTGCCTTAATGGTAGTTATTTGCTATGTAGCTGAGAATTACCTAACTTTTTGCTCTGCCCAATTAAGAATTCTAAAGTTAAGCCTTTGCCTAACCTGAACAGCTTCCCAAATTTCACCCAGAGGGTTTCTCACAAGTGGGAAGGATTAATTCCTTCCCCACTCCGCAAACATAAACATTAGACTTCACTGCAAGAAACAGACCCAAGATCCTGCAAACTGAGGTTCACCCAATTAAGATCCAAGCTCCTGCTGAGTTTAGCATCATGCTTCGTAAGATAGGTCAAGAATCTTCCCAGCCTCCAGAATCCCGTAGTAGCATAACATCAGCCCCTTTGTCTATTTTCCTTTGCAGCATTTATTTCGGTGTCGGGAGATTGCCCCCTCCACTTAGATGAGATTCGCCACTTTCTGAACCTGTGTCCTGAGCTGTCACTTGGATGGTTTGAAGAAGGACGGCTAGTGGCTTTCATTATTGGCTCCCTCTGGGATCAGGACAGACTCAGCCAGGTAAGAAACAGGATCCTTTTCAATACATCTCTTTCCCATTTTATAAATGACTAAGAAAGGATGGGAACTCAACCCAGCGTGAACACACAGCACCTTCTCTCCGTAATGTAGGATATGTGTGTCTTAGGAACTGTGATTCCATTTCCCCCGTCTCTTGGCTAAATTGGCTACTCTCACTCCATGTTTCTTGATGTCCCCTCATCTATAAAACTCCATCAGCCAGACACGACATAATTTTTATATGTCTCTGTGGGAAACCCAGTTGAATGGTAGACGATTAGTACAGTTTTTTAAATTAATGAGTACTGCCTGTGCTAAATTCCAACATAGGTAGAAGAGGAAGTTCCATTCCCCTGTCTGAAATTTTAACTGAGAAAGATGCCTGATTCTCACATGCAGCATTGTGACCCTTGGGGTCTGCAGAGTTTTGGAGATGTGAGTCATTCCTCAAGATACTGGAAGGGCTGCACAGTGTACACTGAGTGTAGCACTATGTTACCTTTCTCCTTTTAGGAGATTTGTTCCAGCAGAAGCAGTGAAGATTCCAATTTATGCCAACTAAAAATCTGACTTATAAAGAAAACAAGAGTTGTTGCTTGCCTATTTTAAATGCTAGAGCCAGCCTACAAAAGAACGGGACTAGATCTTGAATAGCCATTGTTGCTCTTCTCTTTCCTGCTGGCAGGATGCGCTGACCTTACACAAGCCACACGGCTCCACGGTTCACATCCACGTTCTGGCAGTGCATCGTACCTTCCGCCAGCAAGGCAAAGGCTTCATCTTGATGTGGCGATACCTGCAGTACCTGTGCTGCCTGCCCTACGTGCGCCGGACCACACTGATGTGCGAGGACTTCCTCATCCCCTTTTACTCCAAGTGTGGCTTCAAGGAGCTAGGCCCCTGCGAGGTCACTGTGGGCTCGCTGAATTTCATTGAGATGAACTATGACATTTGTGGCCATGCCTTTATGCGCAGAAACAGCGGCTGCTGAGATCATGCCTCCCCTTTCAATTCATCTCTGACTGTTGAACTAGCTGGCTGGGTTAGCCCAGTTTTCCAGTTATTCCCACAACTTCAGCTGGGACCTACCAGTGGCTCAGAGGGTCCTGTGCATGGGGAACCGAGTTTGTGTTTATTGGGATAAGAATTTTCCTTATCTGTGATGGCAGGAATTCCCATGCAAACTAAAAGGTGTAACTGAAGGATCCCACTCCTAGGAAGTTTGGGAAAAACTGCTACATGCAGGTTAGTAGTCCCACAACTGATAACACGTCCTAAACTTCTCCTATTGTTCTTGCAGCCATTTTTGCAAGGCAACAAAATCCCTAAGGCACAGCCTTCCCTTTTATATCTACCCAGCTGCCTTTAAAACTGGTAGCTAAAGCATGGCCCAGTTTTCCATTCACTTGTGTCTTATCTGGGATTGTAACATTGTATAGCCAAATGACAAAAGTCTGCCATGCTCCAAGCAATCTCTAGTCCCACAATTGATCTCCAGTCCAGCAACTGAAATGAGAAGGTGGCAAAATCATGGCAGGTGGGTGAAGGCAGAACTACGAAGCTGATTGTTATCAAGGAGGAGTGCCCTGGTTTTCTGCAGATGGTACAGGAGCATTTCTGCAGGGCAGAATTGGTGCTTTCACAGCATTATAATGGAACCCACTGAGCATCCACTTTAGTGGCATTGGCTACGATGAACTATATACCTGTACAGAAAAACCCTGTGCTTTATGTTAACCTGCATAAAAAGGCACTTGTTTAAAAAAAAGGAAGCTTTCATTTTTTAAAGTGGTGAATTCTTGCTTTCTTCTCTTAGTCCACCTTTTGGGAAAAGACAATTAGGAAAATCTTGCCCGAGAAGAAGTTGTTCACTAGTTCCTTCATTTCTAGGGATTATTTTACTTAGGGAAAGAGTTGGTTTTCACAGCAACTTCTTGCTGTGGGTGGAGAAATGCTTCCCATGCTGACATGTTAAAATGCATGGAATCTGGGTTTGTATGCTCTGTAAATATGTAATGTGGTCTATAATCCATTGACACAGCAAGACTCCTAAGTTCTTGTCCCAAATCTAAAAGGTAAAAATCAGGTTCCTGCCTACAGAAGGCATTCCCCATTTGTTGCTTTATTTTAAGGTGCTCTATTTTTCTCTTACTGGTTTCGAAAAGAGTTTTGCAAGTCCTGGCCATCCTTGGTACTAGGGAGAGACCACTGTCAAATTTGAGTCTCTGCAAGTTAATCACATAATCATTAAGTTTAATGCACATGCTTTGGCATACAATGACTCACTATTAAGGCAAAGCTCCAAAATTTTGTGGGCTCCCTTTGCTCTGGCTGGGAGACTGTGTGCTGACTACTGAATTCATCTGTGGTGGGAGAGGGGGATATATTTATGTGAATGTGATCCAGCTCGGCAAAGAGAACAGCACCAACTGCACGTTGGGGTCCTTTAACTAGCATCTGTATCTTCTTGCCTTTCCATTTCTTTGGGTGCTTGGGGAGCAGGTTGAAATTTCCCAAGCCTCCTGCCCCTTCAGAGCAGAGCAGAGCAGAGCAGAGCAGAGCAGAGCAGAGCAGAGCAGAGCATGGGTGTTAAGGGCAAAGCCTGATATTTTACACAATAGGCTTCGCAGCAGTGTTTGTGGTCTGCAGCATGACATACAGGATGCCTCTGCAATGAAAGAATGGCAACCTACGAGAATAATTTCTTCTTTAAAAAAAGCAAATAAATCCATGTATTTACCATATCTACTCGAAAGTTGCAATAATAAACTGTCTATTTTAAACATCTTTATTCATGGTTGGATGTAAGTGTGTGGGCATCTTCTAGCTCTAGTTGAGCTACATGTTACAACTGCAGTGGTAATAAAAGCTGCAAGTTAGACGTACCTGATAGCTTGCTGGCAAGGCTGTCTTTCCTTATGCTACGAGAAGGTGTCTCTTCATTTTAGTGACTTGGAAGCACTACCTTACAGTAAAATCTCAAGTATGTCCACTCTGCTTTAAGTCCTATTGTATTTCCTGTAAAGTGTCTATAGAATTTCAGCAATAATGTATAAGCTCATCCCAAGATTACACTAACTGAAATGCAAATGTACATGATCTTTGTGTATACGTGCAGGTATGTATAGCTCTTGCTACTGAAAATGGGAAAGTACACATTTCCCCAAACAGAACTGTCACTATGCCATTTTCTATTTGCCATGGCTTTTTGCCAAGTCAATAAATGTGTTTTTTCTTATGATTCTTTGCGTTTACTCCTCTTTCTTCATTTCCCCCTTAAGTAATCCAATCCAGATGACAGCCTCTGGAAAGTTGTTTGCAAGGAAGGGATGGGTTTAGGCTGTGAGAGGAAGAAAAGAGAGGATTCTGGAAGCTAAATTACTGATTTAGTAATCAGCTAAATAACCTGTGAGAAGAGATACTGAAGAACATCAGAGTCGTGTAGTATTAGTTTGCAGGGGTGAGGCGCTATGGTACTTGGAAAATTACTGGAGAGACTGTGAGTAGGATAGCCCTTTTCCAGCATTAACTGCATTGTACTGGGCACCTGAAGTTGAATCGAAATCTTTGTTATGCCTCTGGAGGGAGACTGCCTGTGAAATGGGACTTGTGTCACTGCTCCTCTCCTGTGCCCTTCAAGCCTCTTTTGAGGGGTGTTCCAACCATTTGGGGGGCACATGGGGGTTACAGCAGGAAGCTGAGGACATGGATGTCCTCGTTCTCAGGCAATATGCTTCTTCTGGCAGAACAACAATTCTGGATACAACCTTTGAACCATGGGGCTGCATTAGCACTGAAATGCCATGCAAATAGAACTGTTGTGCCAGTACAGCACCTCTGAGAATGCTTAAGTTTGCAAGAGATTAAATGCTACAGTGCGGCCTAATGAATTCCAAAAGAAAATAGGAGGCATTAGCATCCTGCAGGTAAGTAACCTTTGGGGCCAATTTGGATATCGAGAGCATTCATTAAGATTGCTGGGAGCTAGTTAAAATGGATATTAGACATTTCGAATTAGTGCTATGGCACCAAAGGAAAAACATTTCGAAATTGGAATTTTGATACAAGAGTACAGTATTAAAACGGAAGTCAGGACAGACTGATCCTTTGCTAACATGTTACCAATTTCATTATAACATGCTCACTTTCAATGGGAAAATTTAATCTCAACCTAGCGTAATTATAAATTAGTAGTCTCATCACAAAGAGATGTCAAAGGACATTTTACCATTCCAAGCAAGATGCAGGTGGACTGCTTTATCTCTTTTTAAATAATCAATCATGTTCTACACAGCTATTCTCCCAAACTCTTTGCACCGTAGTTTTACATATTGAATGTAATCCAAATATTAAATTTCACAAAAGTTTCCTTTAATTCAAATGATCTAGTTTATATTACATATTAGAAAGCCAGTGTGGTACAGAGTGTCAGAATGGGCTTGAGTTTGACAGCCCATTCAACTATGAAGTTCACTGACTCTCAGCCTAAACTATTTCACAGAGTTGTTGTGAGGATAAAATGGAGAGAAGGATGCCTACATAAGCCACCTTGGGTGTCAGGATATAAATACAGGAAATGGCTAAAAAAAGCCTGCATAGCATACTCCTAAAGTTGGCTACCAAAGCAACAATATTACACAGATACATACCTTCTCTTCGATGGCTCACCGGCACAGCAGGCTATTTTTATCCCTGCATGGTTTATACCAGACCATTTAAAAATAAGACACACACATTTTCCACTGGCTTGTTTTAAATTCATCATTAATTTATTTAGACCAAAAATATCCTTTCTCCCACTTCCCAGTTCATCTGTCTCTGCAGAATCTTCTTGACCTTCCTCTTTTTTAGAGGGAAGAAATCCTTCAAGTCCTCTTCTATAAGAAATCCAAGGAGGCTGTATTATTCACCCAGTATGAATGCTGGATAGGTACCAGCACTTCTTAAAGATGGCACAAGGTTTCTTTAAAAGCTCAAATGTTCTTTGCCAGAAAGTATTTGGCTCCAGGGACATACAAAAACTGTAAATGGAAGAAGAAATGTATAAAAATACCCCATAGACACAGGGGGGTTTATTTTCACAGTACAATTCGTAGTACCTCAAAAAAGGCACAAACTGTCACACAGTCCAAGCACCATCTAGTGCCAAAAGGCATAAGGAAAGGAACCCTCGAATCAGGAATTGCATAAAAATCAGACTTCAAGTAGGAAATCAGAGTAGAAGGGAGGTGGTCAATATAAGCAGTCCAACAAGATGCGGTCCCATCACTAAGGTGCTTTATAACGGTCACTTTAACGTCCATTCCACCAATGGCCCCAGTCAGTTTCACAGATAAAGTCAGCCACTGACTCCTTTGCCGGCTGATCAGAAGGGATGCAACGTACAACGCTGGTCGTCTCCATTATCCTGCAAACTGCATGTGGAAGGTGTCTTGGTATCCAAGGCTGGGCAGAAGATGCCACCTGCTGCAGGCACCAGGCTGCAAAAGCCCTTGGTAAGAAAGACTCTAACCCACCCGGGGCACACGATGTCAGTGGAGGAATGATCTTTCTCCATAGCTTTTCCTCCCAGTAACAGCTAAACGATTCCCAGAAGTCAGAGAGCTGTAGAAGCGGCGTGCCTGCTTATATTCTTCTTGTTGCATCCAGGAGGTTTACCAAGGCAACAGGGCCTGCCCAGCTGTTCTGCTTTGGCACTTGTTTTATGGGTGGTGTGGAATCCAAAGGGAAGCTGGAAACAAAGTTGCATCGCTTCTGACAGCCAAGGCTCCTTGCTGCTCAAAATATAGCAGGTTTAAAAATCCACCAAACCTGTTCAGCCACCTCCATGATCTGTCAATGCAAGACCTGGTCCAACTCGTACTTCTCGCAGAACTTGGCAGTGAAAGGCAGGCAGGTTAAATACTCTGTCCAGTACCAATTAATGGGATATATGTAGAGCCAGACTACAAGAGATGAAAAGAGACCGATGAAGACTAGCAGTGAGACGATAATCATGGCCCGCTTGCGGTACTTGTCCACGGTGCCAAAGGTGATGTAGGGCAGGAAGGCGAAGGAGAGCAAGAGGCCACTGAGGAAGCCGAAAATGTGCGCAATGTTGTCGATCCATGGCAGCAGACCGCAGATGAAAAGGAAAAGGACAATGCCAGAAAGATTCAGGAAAGCCTTCCAGGGCTTCTCTAGGACTTGCCAGCTCTGGAAGAGCTCAACAAACAGGCAGGCTAGCAAGCCAAACTGTGATCCTGCTGGGCCCACCTAGCAGAGAAGAGAGAAATTAAAAATGAGTTGCAGCAGGCATTCCACCATGAAGCCAGCTGGACCCTCCAGGAGGGCCAGGAAAAAGCTAATGGACAGTGTACCCCTGAAGCATACGTTTGCAAGGACAGGCGGTGCAGTACAGTGGTTAGAGTGCTGGACTGGAACTCAGGGGATCTGGGTCTTCACTTGGCCAAGTTCAGTGGGTGTCTGTGGGGCAGCCAGTGTCTCTCAGCCTAACCTACCTCACAGGCTTGTTGTGAGGATAAATGGAGCACAGCAGAAGGATTACATAAGCTACCTTGGGTTCCTTGCAGGAAAAAAGTAGAATGGTGTATTAAAAAAAAATCCTACTGCTGCAGTTGTTCTTATTAAAAGCTTAACAGTAGGTCCCTTAATCAAGGAGGACAAGAAATTTTAAATCCCTAGGCTGCCCAGGCTTGAATCTTGGGCAAAGGCAGGCTTCTGGGATAGTCGTCACTGATTCTGGAGCGGGTCATGACGACACAGAATGCTGCCTGCAGGAATGGGATGCCTCTAGGTCTGTGGGCTCGAATTCCTTGGTCCACAGTGCTGAGAGCAAGCTATGCTCTGTACCAGTGAAAGTCTTGGGGGATGGCGCAGGTAGAGCAGATGCTCTGAGAATTCAGAGGTCCACGGTGAATTCGTGGCATCTCCCTTCGAGGAGGAGGCAAGGCTGCAAAAGTTACTTGTCTGAGCCCCTGGAGGGAGGCTGCCAGTCAGGGCAGAGAAGACTGAGCCAGGGAGAGTAAGGGGCTGATCCAGAAGAAAGGGAATGCTCAGGTCTCACACACAGCCTGCAGAGACTTGGGCAATATGCAGACCACAGAAAGTCTTACAAATGGTCAGCTAACCCTAATATCCCCCACACACTACCTTCTAGACACCAAGGTGGGAGCATCTTTTTCTTGCTTTGTTTCCTTTTTTTTTACTCCACTATGTGCAGCTCAGGCTGAAGCATGCTTATTCAGAAGTCTCTGTGAGTTCAATGAGGTGGATTCCCTGTTAAAGGAGCCTTAGTTCAGGTTCTGCAAGGTATGCCTAGATCACCTGCAAAGCTCACTTCTGGGTGGGACTCTGTTCTGAGCTAGACACTTCTACATACTAACTCGGGATATGGACCAAACATGATTATACGTTTTGTCCTTGGTGGTTTTTAAAAAGGGAGGTCTGTTCACACTTGCGCATTTTCGTCTCCATCTGATATGAGCTTTCGCAGCATTTGGAATCCTTAAGGCTGAAGAGGGCTGGCAAACACGGTACAGGCACCAGTCTCTAAATACCAGACCAGCCTTCCCCAGCTCAGTGGTCTCCGGAAGTGCTAGCATAGGAGGACTCCCTTCAACCCCAGACAGCATGACCGTTGCTGGGGATGGTGTGGGCTTTTCCCCTGTAGAGTTTGGGGAAGGCTGCACAAGACCTTTTGTATGGGCATTTTCCAAAACCAAGATATGCAGCCATGAAAGCTAAAAAAAACCACCTACCTGCCCCTCGCCTCATTAGTACCAGCTACTTCATTTTGAACAGAAACAGTCCCAAATGTGGCATAATGGATTGCAGGGGGCATTTTTGGACTGGCTGCTCTCACCACTGAAAAGGTGAGCCTCCCCTGAGGACAAGATCAGCAGGACCCTGAGGCACAACGCATGCAGAGGCCCCGGGATTTCTGGGCAGTGCCACACTAACTGCTGATTTACTTGCTTAGCCACCCAACAGCCAAAGTTCTCTGGGTTGGGAACAACAGTAATAGATACACTAAAAAGCAACATGGAGTTAAACAAGAACAAAACATCATGCAATTACACTGGAAATTAAGATAACATTCTAACAACTCAACTAAGGCCAGCCTATACTGCTAGGCCTGCTTAGAAACAATCCACCCCACTGCTCCCCAGCATTTGCTATTTGGAGTGTGCCTTGGCAAAAGGGCAGTCTTGACCTGGTGGCAAACAGATAGTAAATGTGGTGCCAGGTGGGCCTTGGTGGGGAGATGGCTCCAGGATTTGGGGGCTGCTACAAAGAAGGCCCTTCTTGTTGCTACCAGCTGAGCCTCTCCTGGAGGTGGCATTCAAAGGAAGGCCTGAGATGTTTAGGGTAGTGCCTTGATACATCGTGGCTGGAAGAGGCATTCCATCAAGTACTGTGGTCCCAAGCTGCACAGGGCTGCATAGGTTAAGATCAGCAACTTGGACTGGACTTGGGAGCACACAGGCAGAACTGGTGTTAGATGTTCTGACTGCCTCATCCCAGTTATTAGTCTGGCTGCTACATTTTAAACAAGCTGCAACCTTCCAAATTGTTTTCAAGGGCAGCCCCATGCATTGTAGTAATCTAGTTTAGAGATGACCAGATACTAAGATAGGTTGCAGCTAGCACCTACCTAGATAGGTGCCGAGCTGGACCACCAGCCAAGGCTGGCAGAAGACACTCCATGCCACTGGGGCCACCTGAGCCTCAGGTGACAGAGATGGATTAAGGAGAACCCACAAGCTATGCATCTGCTCCAGAACAGGTTTAGCACCCTCCAGCCTGTCCAAAGATCCACCCAGCAAATGCTTGGATTGAGCTTCAGTTTGTTAGCCCTCATCCAGTCTGTGGCTGCTGCCAGGTGCAGGTTTAGCATTGCTGCAGTCTCACTTGCTGAAGGTGAAAAGGAGAAATGCACGTGCATATCATCAGCATGCTGCTGGCAACACACTTCCAAACTCTGGATGACCCCAGTCAGCAGTTTCATGTGGATGTCACTTAACATGGGGGAATACAGCAGCCCCATGAGGCACCCCATACAGGAGACTCCATGGGGCTGAGGAATATCCCCCAAACACCCCTTCTGGAGCCAAGCCTCCAAGCAGGAGTGGAACCACTGCAATGCAGTAGAACCCGTTTGCCACTCAGACAGTCACTCCAGAAGGATACCATAGTTGATGGGATCGAAAGCCCCTGAGAGACCCAGGGGTATCAGCAGGATTATACTCTCCCGTCTCTCCTGGAACAGGTCATCAGGCAGGGCGGCCAAAGCCATTGCTGTGCCAAAACTTGGCCTCAGTCCTGACTGAAATGAGTCCACTTTTCCCATCAGAGCAGTAATTAAAAACACCAGTGATAGCAGCAACACAACAGCAGCAGGAGGCGACACTGCAGAATTCTGAGGCGTTTTTTATGCTGGTGTTCCCCCCTTGCTTTAGGCTCAGTGACTCACAGAACAAGAGAGCAAGCCTGGGGCCAGGTTAGAAATGGAACAGGGCATTTGGAGCACAACCCTTAAGACAGAGCAGAAGTCCTGCAACTCCCAGCCTTCCCCAGCTTAACCCGCCCCGTGCAAGCCCTGCTGCAGTGCTGGGGTTCTAGCAGGAGCTGCAGCCTTGCCCAGCTTGCCTGGGAGGGGCCTCCAGGGCGGCCTCCTTTCATTTCAGCCCTTCCCTGCCCCCAGTGGCAGGGGAAGCTGCACCACCGACATGCATGATACCCTCCCTGCCTGCAGTCACCCAGGGATACAGGCGGCCGCCCAGTGATGTGCAGAAGCAGCTCTTGGGTGCTCTGCAAGGGTTCTGCACTACAACTCCCAGCATCCCATGCTGGCTGGAAGTACTCTGCACATGGGAGCGTTCTATGAAAGGGTAACTGAACCAGTAATGATACCTGAGGAAGAAGCCTTGATCCCACCCCACCCATGCACCTCTGCCGGCCAGCTGAGAGCTAGGTCACCCAAGGCTCGTGTGGCGGAGGGGCACACATGCCGGAGAAGCACCTTGGAAAGGGTGCGCACGGGCCTCGAGGGGCTAACAGGCAGTGGCGGCCTTTCTTTCCACAAGGTGGAGAAACTGCTGAGGCTGCCCAAAGGATTAGATGGGTGAGCTCCTTTACAGCCTGTCAGAACCTCAGATTAGCCACCTGCCTGCTGCATCAGTCAAAGGACCGAGGGGGCACTCTCACATGTGAACTAATACGGCAGCTCACACGTGCTGGCCCAGCACATGGAGGCCAGGAGAGCAGCTACAGCTACAGAATCCTCTCGCGCCACTCCAGCCTTGGAGAGAGAGTACAGGAAACCCTCCCACTCCAAGCTCCCTCCGAGGGGAGGCCATGAGAACTGCCAGCATCTCTTTCCCTAAGCCCTCCTTGCTGCCAGCTTTTCCTGCATCGTTCTGATAAGCGGGGAGGGGGCTGTCTGAGCCTGCACAATGACATTAAATGCAAAAATGACATTGTTAGCTCCCTCCCATGCAGATTTCATCTCAACCAAGAGGTCTAAGGCTGTGTTCCTAAAACACATTTACTCACAGGCCCTGTTTCACCGGGCACGGGAATTGGATGTGCTTCTTTGCTTTCTTGCATAGGACTGGATCCAATTAGTTTAGCTCTCAAATCACTTTATGTGAGGCTAAAAGTTAATTAATTAATTAATTCACAGGAGGGTATGTCCACATCCATTTTTCTGTGCAAAGAAAAGATGAGGCAGCAGGTGGTGAGCAGGGAAAGCAGCAAAATCTGCCATCAGGAAACTCAGTTTCTCTATAATTCTAGTTTTTGCAGAGCAGCTAATTTCATTTAAAAAAACCCCACAATTTCTCAGGACCACCAGTTGCCAGACACACAAACCACAAAATTTTGGTTAACTGGGAGGATCAGAAAGGTGACCAGTCCTATTGGCCAATGGCTTCTCATGAAACATCCATTTACAGCATCTGTTCTCTCATGCCCACCCCAACATGAACCCCCCCCACCGCATCCTCTTTGCACACTCACACTTGTTAGCAGAAAACACTGAACAACAACAACAACAACGCCCGTGAGGATGGAGCCTACTTAGAGGTCACGAAGTGCTGAGGGGCAGCAAAGGGAAAGGCACTGGAAGGGGGGAATGGAGTTGGGCATTCTGGAGAAGCGCACGGCTTGGGAGAGCCCTGGACAGGAGCAGTCTTTCCAGCTCAGGCTGCAACATCTATTGCAGATCCCACTCGTGTATACAGGAAAACCCAGTTTCTGCAACTAAACCAGAGAGAGACTCAGCCGGTATGGCAGTGCAATAGTGTGTGTTGAGACGGATGCAGGCGACCCAAGTTTGCACCCCTTAGCCAAGAAGCAACCTGGGTGTCTCAGGGCAAATCTCTCTTTCAGCTGCGTATCCCTCACAGAAGTGATGTGGGGACAAACTGGAAGCGTTGTGGCTTGGAAGATCACTCAGCAAGACTCCCCTTGTTTTGAGGTGCTGTGCTGCACCCGGGGCAACGATGGCGCTAACCATCTGTTGATCTGTTGCCAGATCTGTTGGAACCTACCATGAGACTTTAGGATAAAGAAAGCTCCCCCCCCCCCCCGGTTTGGTCCCTGGGCCAAATTACCACCTTGGACCAAGCCTGTACCTACAAGCCCCGGCCAAGCTCCATTCTCTGGGCGAAGAGCAGCACAGAGCACCATGGGGGCATTTTTTCAATGGGTCAGGGGGGTGACATCATGAAAGAAGACCAGCTTCTGGGGTTTGCTCCTGCCCCTTGAGGTCATCCAGCCTGCCAGCCTGGTCCTCTTTCTGCCCAGAGAAAGCAAAGCCACAGACAAGTTAGGTGGCCTCTTCCTGTGGGGCGCTTGTGAGGCAGGAAGGGTCTTGGCTGAGAATAGCAGGAACGAACTCCTGGAAAGCCCAGCTGAGCCAGCCTGCGCCTTCCCACACTGCATGTGCCCCTGTCTGGCTGTGAGAGTTGCAGAAACTGGGGTAGGAGAATCAACACCTTATCTCCTGTCTGTCAGAGATTCCCCTTTGCACGCAGCTCTGGGTGGGGGCAGCGCAGAGCCTGTGGAGGGTGTGCAACCCTTTGTGGGCTGCCCTGGATTCTGGATGGGCTGGATTAGATACACGGGCCAGAGGCTGCCCTCTGCTGTTTCAGTATAAGACGATGGGGAAAAACAGACTTTAAAGCTAGGTCAACCAAAGCAGGCAAAATTATACACAAGTTCCGGATTATAAACATATAGAAGAAGCCCAACCATTACTGAATGGTGATGATGATGATGAATAGTGAAACTATTCATGAACTGCAAGATCTCTTTCTGCATCCTATCAGAAAGTTCCTGTCTTCACTAGGGCTCAGAGCTACCTGCATTATCCACCCAGTTCTCTCAAAACACCTCCCTATGGGCTTTTCCAGCGGTGCTTTGCCAATATTAAGCGGCCAGCCCCCTTAGGGCAATGACATCATCCATCTGCCTGCAGTCACACCACCTTCTTTTGTCAGGCTGCTTCAGCCACGTGCCAAGAGAAAGGAAGGAGATGGGAGGATAAAGCTAAGGGAAAGCAGCTCCTGAATTAATCCCTCTTCAGGGCAAGGGAGCTCAGCAGAAGGCCAGTAAGCTAGATGCAGCTTGCAAGATTTCCCTTTTAAACTCCCCATTAGCCAGTTTACAGTCTGGGTTTGTCCACAGCAGATAACAAAGGGCCACGGCCTTTTAGAAGTGGCTCAACTGGTAACCCGCAGAGAACTCCAAAGGCTTCAGCACAGCCGCCTGTGAGAGAAGGGAGCCTGTTCAAATAGGCACAAATGACAAAAAGGGACCACGCTCTGGGAAGGAACTGCTCCTCTTCGAAGTGCAAGTAAGGATCACGTGTGCAAATTCTCCCCAGTGTTTAAACACACGCACACATGGTGCACACAGAAAACCGACACATCAGTGAGAAGGCTAAGCCCTGTTGATATATTAACTTTCTGTATGCAGAGCGTTTGCATCATGAGGGCATGCTCATACACGGGAGCTTCCTACTTGTCATCCGAACCATGTCGCATCTGCTCCATGGCACAGAGCAGTGCAGAAGCGGCTAGAAGACCTTACTATTATGGAGCCTTCCTGTTCTCTCTAACCAGGAACCTGTGCTGACCCTTCCCCCATGCTACAGCATAGAGAAACAGCATGCTGCTTTGGGGTTGTCTGTTACCAAATCCAAAATGAGGTGGGATGACACAGATATCTTGGCTAGTCAGATTTCTGTGTGGGGGTGGGGGAGAGAGTCAGGATCAGGCAGAGCTGCCAGATCAGAGCAAGCAGGGCATCACTGGTTTCAAAGGTGAATGTGTAGTTCTAAAAAGCCTTCTAACCCTGGATCTGCTCTCCTCTTTCAAAGTAGTCCTGTGCTTAACAAGCTATCCTGGGCCACCTTTATGGAGGTTTTTTGAAACAGAAGCTGCTAGACAAATCACATGCAACAAGACTGAAGCACCTCGATGTTAGAAGTTACTTTTGCAGTCTGTGTTTTTCTGCATTTATAGGAAACATGACAGCCCCCCCCACCCCCCACTCACAGGAAGCTGCCTTATCCTGAGTCAGGGACCTGCTTGGCCCATCTTAGCCCAAATGATCTCGACATGACTGGGAGCCACGCTCCAGGGTTTCAGACAATTTTTCCAGCCCTGTCTGGATGCGTTGAAGATTGAGCCTAGGGCCTCTTGCATGCAGAGCAGGTGCTCTATCACTGAGCTACAATCTCCCCTGGTCATCTACAGCCTTCTCAGAGAAACAGGACTGGCAGCATCTGGGACAGCAATGTGGCAACCATCGAAACTCAAGTGCAACAGCAATTACTCTCTGAAGTCCTAAGAGCCCGAAACTAAAACAAAACATTCTTGCTTCATGGCAGAACCAGCTTATTCTGTACTTCTAGTCCAGCAAAACAAACCTCCTTTTCAAGTAACCTTGAGCTTCCCAGGAGCTCAGCATGGGCCCAGCATCCCACCTCCAGGCTCTTCACCACCATGGATGGCAATGCAAGTCGGAAGAAGAACCACATTCAGAAGATCCTATTTCAGATTCATCATCTGAGATGTGACCAAGCACTGCAGCTGCTTCACACATGCAAGAGAGCAACCATTCGGCTAGGTGTTGTGACTGAACCATGAAACTATGCCTTGTGAGCAAGTCTGCATATCAAATACAGCTTTAAATTTCCTATCTAGGCTTGTTCAGAAGTCATTATCCATAGTTCCATGGTTTGGATGTAACAGGAAATGAAGTTAGCTGATGACTTCCCATCTTGTTTCCCAGCACTTTAGATTTTGGGCTATAAAGCTGAGAGACAAAAGCTGGAAAGCAATCTGTGGAAGGGGGAAGGGACCTGCTACACCCACACAGATGTAAGTGGGCTTTCCACTGGCCAGATGCAATGCAGGAGGGTGGAAGACCTGTAGCTCCCCAATCACATTATGCATACGCTGCCTTTCAAGCAGGTTCCCTGAAGTGGTGAATATCTGGCTCCTGGACCTTGTATTTGCCTTCTCCTCCAATAAATGCTTCTTCCCTGTTCTCAGTCCCAAATATTTCAAAATATGGAAATCCTCAGCTGACACCAGAGAGAGATCATGCCAACTGGGCACACTGCTTCTTACGGATGTATTTCTACGTTCTGTTGTTTTCAGAACTTGAGCAATAGATGAAAGGCATTCCTGGTGGTTGCTTACAATTCCAAACTCTTTTCTCTTTACAGAAGGCTCAAACAGCCTATTGCTCTCTAGATGCCACTGGACTACAGTCCCCATCATCCTTGATCACAGGCCATGCTGGCTGAGACCAGTGGGAGTTGGGACCCAACGACATCTGCAGGGCCACTCATACTTAAAAGGTTTACCAGCACTTCTGATTTTCCAGGCTGCAGAACATTACCAGCTGTGTGTGGCTGTGGAGACTTTTCTATTTAAGTTGTCCCATAGACTACTAAGCCGCTCTGCCTCCTGCAAAAGTCCTTACCTCTGCCCTATATGGAAGGAAGATGGCACTAGCCAGGTTGCCCGTGATGCCACTGAGGATGAAAATGATCATGATTCTAAGCCAGCCTGCCAGCTTCTCCAAATCCCTGAGCACCGTCATCTGAAAGATCACCGACACCAGACAGTGGATAATCCTGCAGGGCACAGACAGACAGACGATTCATATCAGAGCGTCTTATGGCTTTAAACAGCAATGGGCTTTCCTAGCAATGCTTACACCCTCTAGCCTGAGCAAGTTCACGGGTTCTGTTAGTGATGCTAAACATTTGTCACTTCGAGAGATATGCCTGGCTTTGCACAAGGGGCTGTAAAAGAAGTTAAAACAAAGGTGGGCTGAGGACAGCGCAAGACCTACTGGCAGATCTCTGAGTGTTCTGCAGAAAACAGAGAAAGATTTTGATCTGCCAGATGTTTACCAAAAGCAGCAAGAGAGCTACCCCCTTTCCATCCTACTGCTGAAATGAAAAAAAAATGGGGGTAACCAGAAAAGATGCCTTCAGTTCTGATCCTCAAAACAAATCCCTGGGCTCAGAATTTTAAAATACTAAGTTTATCGCTTTACTGGGCTCTAGCTGAAGTTTTAGGGTTCATTCGAGTAAAAACCAAAGTAGGTTTCTTCAGCCTGAAGTTTGCTGAGCACAAATCCATGTGGGAGTCAAGAGGAAGAGCTAAAGAATGTCAAAGAATCCTTGGAGGATAATATCTTGCATATCCAAGCTGAGACCATGAGAAGTAGATGAACCCTATTCTAGGTTCCTGGCTCAGATGGGCAGAAGCAAGATCTGGTCAACTGATGGGTTCGAGCAGCCAAAACATGGGAAGCCAAGCAGGATGCAGACAGGGACAAAGGTAGAGCAACCTTCAATGGGAATTATGGGACTTGTAGTACAACACATCTGCAGGCTACCAGATTGGGAAAGGCTGAGTAAGATGCTGAACTTCCCCAATACCTTGAAATGCTTAGAATCCTGATAAAAAGCATTGGGAAATCCAGGCAGGATTTCTATATGGTCCAGCAGCTGAATAAGCAGGGCTGAAGACACTGGAGGTCAGATGCATCCATCATGATAAATCCACTAGGTTGGCGAAGACTGTGTAGTGGCTACAATCTTAGAAGTACAACTGGCCCCCCTGTTTTTGGCTTTTAGACAGGGTATAAAGACGCATCTTTTCAATTTGGCCTTCTAAAACGAGCAACTTCTAAATGTATTTGTTGTTTTTTCATGCTCTTGTTTAATAGTTGGAAGGTTTTATTTTTTAAAATTGTTGTACACAGCCTCGAGAGCCTTTCATGGCGGTACATAAATGTTAATGATAAAATAATCAGACCAAGAACAGGAAGACCAGGGCTTAAGGCCTTGCCCAACCATAAAGCTTACTTGGGCTAACTACTATCACTCAGCCTAACCTCCCTCACAGGGTTGTTGTGAACATAAAATGGAGTGGAGGGGGAAAGAACTACATACACTGCCTTGAGCTCTTTGGCGGAAAGGGGAGCTCTACATGCAATCATGAAAAGGACGCAAAGGGCCATCCCAGGGGCCCATGCCTAGTTGTCCCTCCCAAGGGCACCCATGCTTTCCATTCTCCCTACCCACCCTGCATGAAGGAATAAGGACAACCAGAGTCTATAGAACTGATCAGGAATCTCTGGGTTCAGAAATGGCAAGAGGCCACACACCTCGTCCATGCAGTGGACCTGGAATGAGAAAGAAGGGGAGAAAAAAAGGGTACATTAAAGTGGGTGGACCAGTCAAAACTGGAAGGAGGAGAACCCCTGAACCCTTCGTCCCACTGTGACGGAACCAATGCTCATGGATCCTGATAAATTTAGGGGTTCCCAAGTGCACACAATCCGCCCTCCCCCAACTTTGGCCTCATGGCCTTCGGATCAGCCACCCAACACTGGACACCCTTATTTGCTGTTCTCCTCTTATATGCTTCTGGATTAGCACTGGGAGCGGGTGGCAAGCAGAAGAGTGAGAAAGGGATCCCTCTGGGTTCAAAAAGAAAGCAGCAACTTTCTTGTTGACCAGTCTCTGAATGGTTTTATTGCTATAATCTGATTTTTAGTATGTTAATTCTGTATTTTGATTCTCTTTTCTCTCTTTTGCTGTTCACCACTCAGGAATCCTCTTTTGTCTGTGGTACCGCATGGCAAAACTGCCACAGCACAGAGCCATAATCCCCCAGCACCACCTCCTGGAATTGGCCGGTCAAGTAAGAGTGGAACCACTGCAGCGCAGGGCCTCCAACTCCTAGGCCAGTCAGCCTATCCAGACAATGGTAAAAAAAAAAAAAGCCACGGAGGGGTCCAGGAGAATCTCCGCCCCATATGAACGCCTCTCAAACTGGTGCCACCAGCCAGGAGGGTGGTGTTGCACTCCTGCACTGCTTATGAATTTCCTGCAGGCAGTATTTGCCACTGTGTGAGCAGAATGCCAGACTAGATTAATCTGATCCAGCATGGCTCTTCTTATGTAACCTTGGACCTCTGGCGTACGAAGCATGAGCCCTCTATCGCTGCATCATAGCCTTAGCCCAGATGCAAAGAATGTGTGTGTGGATATTGTAAAAGTCCAGGCAGGTAATGGCTTGCTGCTCTTTCAAGAGCTTGCCATTTTCCACATGAGAAACCTATAATCTGTTCTCCAGAGACACTGCACATGAAAAAGCTTTGTCCCGGCTTCTTTTGCTTCATTTTGCTCAAAGGACATGCTAAGCATTTGCAGAATCTGAAGTAGCTCTTTTGCTTTTCTTTCCTTCTTCTTTCAGAGAGAAGACAAAGAAATAGAGGAATAGATGAAGGGAAGTAGAATGAGAGAGTGCCTATTATATAAGAAGGCTCAACTAGAGGTCCTGCCCAAAAGAATAATAGGGAGAAATACACATCACAGACATTTCATTCCATAAATGCTTGACTCTTAGTCAAAGATGTACAAGTGCCTTCCCCACTTCGGTGCCTTCTCAAGATATTTTATCCTTTGTCCCAGAATTCCTGCCTATCAGCTATGCTGGATGCAGCTGATGGGAACTGACATCCAAAATGCCTTGAGAGTTGCCAACTTGGGAAGGCTGGTTTACAAAATTGGGGGAGGGGTGCTCTAAAAAGCAGCCTGCTTTTGAGGGGTCAAAGCACACAACTGAATATGCCCCATTTGAGATGGCCCTGGGCAAGCTGCCCTCAGGTGGAGCCTTCCTCCAGGTCAGTGAACCTTTGCAGGCTTACCTGGCAGCACTGCTCCAAGCAGCACCAGCCAGCTGGTTCTAGTGGCCATTCTCGTTTTCCACGATGCCCCAACGCAGCATTGGTCTAGACTCTAGGGCACTGTGGGAAATTAAACATTTGCTTAACCTTCCACCTTGTACTGCTCAGAGCACCTGCGTGGAAGTTTTTTGCTTTTAAAGGGGAAGGGGCAACACTACAGGCAGCAGCTGTGGAGCTGCCACAGCCCTGGCAGTTCTGGACAATGCCAGGTGCTGACCCCAATGTCACTCTTGAATATCACTGTTGCTACTAAGAGGAGGCTGGGCAAGGATTGTTTTCGCCACTTGCCACTTTGCTAGTGTTCCACAGATCCGATTCTCTCTTAAGGGAAATCTAGTGTATGGGTAGAATCACAGGTTGGGTGTGAGCTGTCATCAAATTTTGGGTTGTCATTACATGCATCCACAGCACCATGGTTCAACTAAGGGTTGTTAACCATGAACAATCCAGGGTGTATAACGAATAACAACCCATGGGTTTTCTTCCTGGGTTATTCATCATTACAACCAGAGTGCAGGATTCACACATAGCAACAACGCATGATTCAACAACTTCCCATACTCTGGATTGCTGTTATATACAAACCAGGCTATGGCCAGATTTATTATTCCGCAAGCTCAGGCCAAACCTTAGAAGTTTCCCCATCTACACATCCAAAGGTATTACTTGCCTGTGAACAGAGAGTTGCTTCTTCATGGAAGTAACCATGCATGAACTCACAGTACTCCCTAGTAGTGATCTCACAGCTAATACAAAGAGAGGGAGACATACACACAATGTTAAGAATTACTTAAACATTTGTTTTCTATTTTTGTCCACCTGAACTTCAATTCCTCTCCAGAAAATACCAAGTTCATAAATTATACCAGCCTTATTCAATCTACTGTCCTTCTCATGTTTTGAACCACAACTCCCATCACTCCCATGTTGGCTGGTGCTGATGGGAGCTGTTATCCAAAAGATCATGAGGGTCCCAGATTGGGAAAGGCTGTGCGAGAACAGCTGATATTAGCCAGTCAACATAGGTTTGATATGCAATCAATGAGGGGCAGGTAGCCCTAATATTTCTATTATGAAGGAATGTTATTTTTGTTCAGGGGTGCTCCTGACTCAGGTTTTTTCAGACAAAATAGCGACAGAGCTGCCCACAATGCTTCCAGCACAACTGCCTGATGAAGCCCAGCCCTTCCTTTGCACAACAGCACACAGAGAAGGTGCCTTGGCACTTTTTGAGTACTACATACAAGGAATTTAAAGAAGAGGGGAAACCCTTTTATGCTTAGCTTCAGTTATTTTAGATTTACATGGCAGATCGCAAGCCACATGCAGCAAGACATCACATTTGGCTCGGCATGGCTGCATTTATTTCTTGGGATAGAGAAACAAGATAGCTAAAGAGATACAGAGAATGTTCCGATCATCTCTCTGCCTCCAGGAGATGGTTTCCATACATAGCAAGTCATGTAACAAAGCTCAGTGGCATTTTGCCACTACCTTCCTGCTCACGTTTGGCAATGCCAGACACAGAACATCCAAGTAGGAACAACATCCAGGGTCAGCAATTTGAGCTCTTGGCCTGATCCTGAAAACCCCACCACTTATCCCCATACTGCCCCAATAGCAAAAACATACGCAAGAAAATTAACAGTGCAGCCCATACACGTTGACAGGGGGCTGAGTCCCACAGCTCCATGGGACTTTCTTTCAAGTGAGACAGTCAGTAGTGTGGCATAGTGGTTAGAGTGCCGGGCTGGGATTGGGGAGATCTGGGTTCTAGTCCCCACTGGGGTGTGAAGCTCCCTAGGTGGCTCTGGGCAGTTGCCCAGTCCCCAGCCTAACGTACCTCACAGGGTTGCTGTTGTGAAGATAAAATGGAAAATTAAGAGAGTCAGGTATGGCAGCTTGTGCTCTTTAGAAGACAGACAGGATATAAATATGATAAATTAATTACTTAAATGATTAACTATAAGGTTGACAGTTATGGTATATACAAGTGGTATTTTTGTATTTACCTCTATGTGACTCTCACTCTGAAATTTGTCAAAGTATTTTGAGGCACCTTACAGAGGAACACTTTTATTGTGATATAAGCCCATTTTTTTCAGACATGCAGAGACCTGAGAAAGCAAGCTTTGCCCCCAAAGCCTTTTTCCAACATAAATGTATTCCTCTTTAAGTTGCCACAGAACAATTTGCTTTTTGTATTTGTATTCATTCAAATTAGGCTCTCAAATGGCTGCTAAGCTCCAAGACACTGCATAGTACCACCTTTTAAAGGTGACCAGCAGACAGATGTTTTAGTCTGATTCTACATTCTGACTCCAGAATCTTCCACTTAATGACAAACAAGTTAAATGAAGAAATGCTGCTAAGCCCAAGCAACTAGTTCTCAAGAATACGAAGATAAGATCTCTCTGGAAGCTGGGCTTTTGTAAAATTACCTTAACTGATGTGTGTGGCAAAACTTTAAGGAACATGGAACTATGGTTCTGGGCTTTAAGTCTGAATGCTAAGCAAGGATAATTTACCTTTATAAGTGTTAGGATCACTTGAGAAGCTGTCAAAATTGGAACAGGTTTCTTAAGCGAGTACACTTTAAAACAGTTTCTCTACAGCTGCTGTTAATACCATTTGGGGACAGGACTGTGGTACCTCAGGATGGCTAATTACCTGCCTTTGGTGCCAATACAGCACGGTCTTCCTTTAATGTCACAGTCCATATGCAGTAAGCCAGTATGGTTACTTTTGGCTTGATCAGTACATATCTGTAAATAACAGAGACATACAGTCAAAAGAGAGAGAAGGTGGCAATGTAACATCTATTCTAATCAGGGGATAGATGCCCATTTTACTGCAAACGACAACTGCTAGCAATTGCAATGGCACACCCAGACTGCAACAGAACCATCAAGTGGACATCCGAAGGCAAAAGATTCCCGGAACCCATGGCTTGTTGTGCAGCAACTGGTTAAGCACTCCAACAAGCCACCTTCACAGGATTCAGATGACACAAGAAGCCATGGCCATGGGGGCAGGGACTGGCAAAGTTGCAGCCCACCATGGCTAGTGGACTACAGTGATCGGTGTCTCTGCTAAACGAAAAGCCCAGACGCACTGACCCCAAAAGTCCCAGCTCGATGGTACCACCGAAGGCCACCAGTGTGTCAAATCCCCCCCATGTCTGAGTTCAACTGGTGGGTGTACCCAGAAGAGGTATGTGTGTCCCTGGCTGCCCACCAGGAAGGTATGAATCTTTCCTTCAACGGGCAGTCAAGTTCTAACCACTGGGCCTTGCCTTCTGCCTCAATTGCAGAGCAGATCTCTCTTGAGAAGAGAGCAATACATGCAGCTTCTGCAAGGAGTTTCTACTATGCCAGATAAAGGGAGCAGGCAGATCTAAGCAGCCACCCTTTTCTCTTTGAAAAATTTCTTCAAAAACTTCCATCAGTCCTTGCACTGACAAAGGAAAGCAAAAGCAAACAAATGACAGGGAGAGGGAGAGATCTTTACCGGCCACTTGGTGATATCATCTGGCCAGATGTGGGGTCGATTTGAAGCAGGTTCCTCACAAGTCCTGTTGGGAGACAGACAGGCCGCTGCTGAGGCTCAGGTGTGCATGACTCCTGGTTCTGCTGCAGCTTTAACATTTTACCCCTCCCATTCAGCATTTTTTGCAGGGTAAACCTGACACTTTGTGAGAGAATGCCAGGACATGCACGCACGCACGCAAAGCCAGCTACCTGGGATCCTGAGCGCACACAGCTCCTGATGACCTCTTCAGACTGGAATTGCTGGGGTCAATCTCTGGTGGGTTATGTTTTGGCCACTTTACAAAAGTGGCCAGCGTTTCCTATGGGGGGAAAATGACTTTCTAAATATACTTATGATAATAGACATCTCTCTCATAGATACGGACATGTTTTTATAACATCTAACCCATCACCATCAAGAGTGGTAGTATTTTAAGAAAAAGCAGACTATTACCAGAGGCCTGCTTTGAAGAGAGTTTATTTGGCTTACGAAGTCTTTCCTTAGGGTTGCGGTCACCACGGACAATCTGTGACTTGACACAGTGCACCAAAACCCAAAAATACTCAATGTTTGGAAGGTACAGAAGGCATTTTCTTAAAGCTCTAGAAAGCATTTACAGAGCCATCTATAATTGGTTTCATAGGCCTGCAACAATGATATGAACTTCTCTGGGTTATGGCTGGTCGTGTAAATTGACACTTAGCCAAAATGTGAGCAAAAGAGTCCTGTGACTAGACGAGAGCATTCAGGGTGCAGTCTGCAGAATGATCATCCCCTTTATTCCACAGGAGGCAACTACAAGGACCTTCCAAGTGCTCCCTGGAGGAAATGCAGTCAAGCGGGACCTCAAAAAGCCCTTCAGGTGACCTCAACCCTTCAGCCCTTCTCTCTGCCTTATCCATCAGATGGTGACCTCTTTTGCCCCTCAGCAGCAATGGCCCTTGAAGTCTTGCCCTTCCAAGCTTCTGGGAGGTTTTCAACAGCCTTCTCCAGGCTGCTGCCCTCCAGATGTGTCTCCGCTGTTGGACGGAGGAGGCTGGGAGCTGCATTCCAACGCTTCTGAGGGGCACCAATCTAGGAAGGCTGTTTACAGCATCCTGCCAACGTCCAAGGGAAAGCTGCATTATCAGAGCAACTTTCACGCTCCTGCTCTTACCGAGCAATCTTTCTCCAGAGTCTGAACACAGCCAGAGTTGTCATTCTGCACGCAGCAGCCGGAAAGGCGCTCCTGCTCTCTCTCCCTTTGGATCACCTGCTCAATCTGTTGGTCCTTCCGAATGCAGGGAGAGAACTTGGCTCCCAGGTGGATCAAGTCAATCTGAAATGCAAAGAGGGGGATGTGCAGAACTCAACAAGAAAGGTTGCTGTCCCTGTAACTTCTCTTCTCCTACACCCCCATCACAGGGAGTGGTACATGCAGAGGGGCACCACACAGAGGCAACAAGCAGGTGACCCCTGGGATGCTTTGCCTGATTCACAAAAGCAGCAAGATGTGCCTGACTGATCTTCCCCACCTCCATTTGGCCCCGTACAAAGGATGCGGTGAGCAGAATGGAGGACTTTGTCCCCACTTCGGAAGGATTTGCACCTGCCCCCTTTCAAGTGAGCTCCAGGCCTTAAGTGCAAATTATTCATGCGTTCTCTTGCTTAGCTCCCTTGCAAGGTCCTCAGAACGGTCACCTGAACATTTCCTGGCTAGGCTGCAAGGAGATGTGAGGAAGAAAGGATGTTTGATGCCGTGGACAACACTTAAGCACTGAGTTCTGGGGACAGGTCTGGCTCTCATTTGGACAACTGATGACCCTCCCTCCCTCCCTGACCAACAACACCCATCAGTCCTTCCTAGCACAGCCAATGGTGGGAGTTGTTTGGCCTTCCAGATGTACACCAATCGCCCCCTCATTTAGCCGATGAGGACAGAGAATCACTTTCCAATGCATAATGGTCTCCAACCCTGGGAGCATTTTGCTTTCTTCCATAATGTTGAAATAAACATTATGCTTATTTGTTTCAAACAACATAATTGCTAAAGGAAGGGGCTTTTGGCAGCATCCTCACATCTAGCCAACTGGTGGTGGCTTTTTATTCTAGCAGATGGAATATCTGTGCGTTATTACAAATAATAAAGCACAGAAGGTCACAGATCAAACCGAACAATCTAACTTCCTCTAATGCATGTACTGAATTTTGTTTTAGGAAAAGAAGCATCATCTCAACAAGAGTAACACAAACAAAAAGTAAAGCGTGTCTTTACCGAGCTTGGCCCAATCCAGAAGTTTTCCTGCTGGATGTACTTCACACTCTCATACACGCCCTTGTTCCGCAGTACCTGCAATGCAACAGAGATGTTTCCAAGATGAGAGAAATCAAAAGTGTCCCAAGAGAAGTTTCAGACTGGGTGGTTTCTCCAATTACAAATGCCAGATGTGTGACCGGAGTGTGCACTTAAGCATACCTGAACTGTCAAATGGAGCTGTGGGCAATACCATTTGTAAAATCTAGAAATACAGAGGTGATCACTCAGTAGGTTGACCCAGCTTAAGGAGCACCGTTTCAAAGAAGCAGCTGGACAATGTCTGCTAAACCTTGGGTGTGAAGCTGCAAACAGTTGGTGGATCATACCAAATGTTCCTTGCTCAATTTGTATCATTTTATTCCCCCAGCAGAAAATGTGCAGATGTTGGCTCTTCTGGCTGCAGATTTTAGGTGCTTGATGCCCAGTGAGTCAGCAGCCCTGCCTACGCTAACTGAACAGAGCCGTTTGTGTCAGCCTGCTAGGTGGTTGCCTTTGAGACTCTCTCAAAATTTCAACTGCTCCAGTTGCTGGAGGCTGTGCTGGAAGTTCTATGTTAAGGCCCGGTCAGTTTCCAAGGACAATGCATGCAGCCCGGTCTTACAGTATACTGCCATCTCCTGTGCTTATGTCCTCAGCTCAAAATTCAGTGCTGCTGGCCTGATATTTGTTGGGCTGGCACAAAGGACAGGGCATGCTCAACAGTGGTACCTTGTTATGTAATCCACCCAGAAAATTTGTTAGATGATGGATGTAAAAATACAAATGCATGTATGTTCAATAATCATGAACATTTCTCCCTAAAGAGGCTTGGCAAACCTACTTGACTTTGGTTTTAGAAGGCTGGTAGAAGCATAACATTCTAGTGAGCATATTCCAAAACTCCTCCTATTTTACTGGAACATGTGACTGTTAGGGCTCTTTAATTATTATTCATGCAACTTAATTTTATTTGATTGCTTTGCCTGGATTTCACTATTTATTTTTCTACCTGCTGTGGGCTCCCCTGTGGCTTTTTAGAAGGACATGGAAGAAGGCAAATGGAAAAAATAGCATTAAGATGGACTGAGACTCACTAATGCGGTCGTCAGGTGCTGGGCAAAGCCAATCGGGGCGATTCCATAGGTGCAAATTGTCAGCAGGGTGATGATGATGTGGACAAAGGTAAGCCAGTAGGTGAAGTAGGGCCTGTTAGGGACAAGGATGAAAGGCAGAGCAGAGTGTTATAGACCATACCGGCTGCATTTGGAACATGTAGATACACTGCTAACTCGGTGGCTAGTCCATGCCTAGAACTGAAAGGGTAAGCAGAAGCTGGGAAACGATTAGGTAGAGCAACTGAGAGGGGCAGATAGTAATTAATACAGATCCATGCTTTTGGCTGGGATTGCTGCAAAATAGGTTTCCATTGATGCTAAAATCCGTGGTCTAAAGGGAGCTGCTTAGAGTCCTGAAGTTTGGACACCACCTCCAGCTTTTGATTACGTTTCCTGTCCTTTGCCATGCCTGCCATTCTGCGGTGGCATCTAGGACAGTTTCTCAAATGGCCAAATGTGCTCACAACCCAAAAAGCTTGGCTACCTGTGTTTTAAAGAGAGTTCAAAGCCCTTTACATAACAACGTTGTCCTTACAGTAATCTTGTTAGGCAGATCAGTATTAATATCCTCAGTACCACAGACAGGGAATACGAGGTGGCTGAGAGGGAGGGTGAGGTGGCTGCCTGAGCACAGCTGGTGAGTTCATGGCAAAGGCAGGATTCGAACCGGGTACTTCGTGCTTCACATCTTTGTCTTTTAGCGATGATGCTGATTTAGTGTCTATCTCAACAAACTGGAAACAGAAAAGGTCTTGAGGCAAGTTCACTAAAGGAAAGTTCCCTTCTTCGCCTCCTGCCAGCAGCCATGGAAGTAATTGGGCAAGAGTGGGGGGGGGGTCCTCCTGGACAATGGAGGATGGAATGCTGCAGGGGGGAGACACCACCTTCACAGGTTGCGACAGATGGGACCAGGTGGCTTCAGTCACCTTGTGCAAATCTTCATGTTCTCATGAAGGAGCAGGCTCCAGTGTGTGATATGATTAGCTGTTTGAGAACAGCAAGATGAAGGAGATGGATCCCATAACTTTCAGCTCTGAATGACAGGAGTTGCAGCCCAACACAGCTAGAAGGCACCAGGTTGGGAAACGCTGGCTTAAAGAAATGACTTTCAGAGAATACTAGTCACCAAGATCCTTGATTTCTTTTTTTAAGGAGGCTGGGATCATCTTGTATGAACCCAGTGGGTTAAACCTATATACCTTACAGGAGAAACAGCTCAAGGACTAGCAACCATTCCTTAATGAAGGGTAGAAATGCAGGTAATTAGTAGAACTTTGTATTTTCAAAGCTTCTTGACTCCAGTAGCATCTCTGTATTCCCACAAAGATGCTACTGGAGTCAAGAAGGAAAGAGAGATATAGGAAAATTGGGAATCCTGGAGAAGACTGGGCTGGAGGCCGACCATGGGCCAGCACTCTGTTCCTACCTATGGTTGTCCGTGAGCTCCAGTTGTGAACGCACCACACTACTGATGCTCCGGCGGTAGGTTCTGTTCAGCCACTTGCCCACCACTCCCAGCCCGTAGTAGCGCTTCTTGCGATCAAAGGCAAAGTGTTTAACCCGAGAAGCAATTCGCTTGCCCCTCTTGGAAGCAGCAGCTGCTGGCGGGAGGCCCTTGCCAGACAATCCTATACGCCTGCAAAACGAGAAGGGACGTCACTGATTCAAAGCCCAAGGGCAGCATGAACACATACAGAATTATTATTCCTGGATACTGCTAATGAAAATGCTTCTGTTCTCACAGCCCCATCAACATAAATGCCAGCCTGGCACAATAAGCCTATATATTACTGAAGTGCTAAACGGTCATGCAGCACATCGCAACCCACTCCTCTTGCTGGTTCTTTTTCTTTCTTTCGGTTTGCTCCTTCTACTTCTTGCAGGGAGATCACAAAACCAAGACAAGCATTTCTCCAAAAGGCTCTGCCTCTTGGAGCATATGAATAAACCCCCTACTTTCCAGGAATAGTTCAGGTAGCGAGGAGGCCAACTGGATAGTATCCACTGTTATTTCTGCATAGAGCAGACCCACTGAAAGACGCAAGACTTTCACCGCAACTAGCTTATGCTCCATTAATCCCAAGGGGTTTACTCTGCACAGGACTAACAATGGATACTTCCCTCTAGGTTCCAACACAGTGCAGCCCTTGCCATTTGTTACTTCCTCTCCACAATGCACAAGCGTCTAAGACTTTTCTCCTGAGCCCTTCGCCACCAGTTCTTTCAGGGACTGCTTCCTGCATGCAACATTAAGACAAGCAATTCTTACAGCCAGCTTTGCTGCAAACTACAACCTGGTTCACATGAGATGAAAGCCCATTATGACTTAATTTACCTGCAGGGCAGTTGTACTGTGATTGGCACCCACAGGGATCTACCTTCTCATGACCTAAAGAGATGTGAGAACCCAAGCAGCAGTCCTCACATGGCCCATGGTTCATTTTAGAGTTAGTTGAGGGTTGTCTAACTCTATTAAAGTCACCCCTGCTATCTGAGTTAGCACAACCAGACAAGCCATGTTAACGAGGCAGCAGGCAAGAATGGTGTCCATAAGTGATCAGAGCTCCCACAGGAAATGTAAGTCACAATCAGCTGTGGCGTGCAAACAGACTCTGAGTCCGGTATAACACTTGCTAAAATGCCTGCATGGAGGGCTGGCTAGAAAGGCCTTTGCCTGCTGCTGAAATGACAAAGTAGGGAGCAGGAGAGCCTCTCTGATGTCAAATTAGGTGCCACCACCAAACAGGCAGTCCCTTCTGTCGCTGCCAGTTGCACCAGAGGTGGCAGGGGAGGGACTGCTTGCTTTTTCTGGCAGCAATAGCTCAGATATGGATAATCCTGGGGAAGTGTGCCCCTGTTGGTACCACACTCAATGGGAAACCGTGACTCACTGAAGCGGGAGCTCAGCCTCGGGTGTCTTGCCCTCCTCTGGCTGGGAGTGCCCTTGGATACAAGTGGCTGAGAGGGGTGGGGATTCAAACACATCATCTGGCATGGAGCACATCTCATCATGTACGTCAACCTGCGGGAAAGAGAGACGGGGAGAGACCTCGCTGAGCACCCCAGCTTTGCCAGTGCGGCGCTGGTAGGTGCCAGTGTGCCCACGGACATGTCTCTTGCCACACACCAGGGTTCCTGCCCAAGTTTAGTTCTGTTTCCTAATATATTTACTTTCGATCTATTCAAATAACCAGAGAAGCTGACAGACATGCTATAAAACAAAGGGTTCTCCTCCAGTGTCATCGTAATCTGAACTCAAAAGAGGAGTGTTGTGTTTTGGAGCTCAGACCTCACCTCCAACTTGACTTGTCAGTCTTGACAAGTTACTTTTCTTTTCATTTGCTTTCTTTGAAATGAGTGTTCTGGGACTGGCTGACCATGGCAGCCATGCTAGGAATGAGAAAGCCTCGCCCCCCCGGTAGCCATTTTGTGAGTGGACAGAGAGTGGCAGTGCATGGAGGATAAAGCGGCGAATGGGCAGAGGCCTACAGATCAAAGAATGACTTGCTGATAGATCTTGCTGTGTGGAGCTGGATGCTGTTTAGCTCAACAGGCAGGGAATGGATGTGCATGTGATAGGTAGGAAACCAGACTTTTAGGAAACACCAGCTGCTTAAGTCTTTTGAAGCAATAAAATTCCCAGTCATTTTGAACAAAGGGTTTAACATCTGGTGAGGGAAACACAAGGATACAATTCTGTGCTATACATTTTTGAAAGAGCATGCAAAATTTGATCTGATGCAGAAATTTGATAATGGCTGTAATGCCTCCTGAGCAAGACACAGCAGCCTCAAAGCTGCCAGTGGGCAAAGGAGTATGTGTTTCAAGCTCGGAAGAGAAGATGTGCAAACAGAAACACTGGGACTGGGGCAGACAAATCTGTTGCCATCATCCGATCCCAGCTGTGTCAGGCAACAGGAGGGGTGGTGGGTCTCTTTTTGCCTGATAGGAGGGGCTGAAAGCAGAGAGGGCGAAATGTGGAAAGGGTGCAGCCCTGCAACATGTTGCAGCTTAAAGCTCTTACTAACAGTAACTCAGCCTTAGATGGGCATTTCAACCTTTGTGCATGGGGTTTTTGTGTGAAAGCTACACAAAAGCCAACAAAAGACCAAACAGTGAGTGTCTGGGGAACTGGAGTGGGGCAGAGAAAGGGAGCATGGCTATTTGGAGGACTAGAGGAACACCAGGAGGGCTTCTGCATTGGCCCATATTCTTCCAGTTCTATACTCTTACAACATGGGAACCCCTAAGGTTTATCTCCTCCCCAAGCAGTCCAGGGAGTGCCAGGTGCCTGCCTGGATCTGCAGACCTGTGGAGCTCCCCCTGGTGGCTCGATCTAGCGCAAGCAGCCTGGTTCACCTTGCAAGTATTTGCAGGGCTGATGTCAGGTCTCAAGGTGCTTTCAGGGATCGGAACCACTAAAATCATGGAAAGCAGCTGAAAGATGCTCAGCCCTGCCTCGTTTTGCCACAGTGACATTTATTTACATATATTTATAGGCCTTCCAACATGAACTTTTGTAGTGGCTGCTGCATGGTTCTAATCCTGCTCCTGCCTGTTCCTGACACCACTTTTGTCTCTGGTTCTACCACACTGTTGCCAGGTCTCTGATCCTTGCCCTTGCTTGCCCTTGCCTGTGCCTCTGGTTCTGCCACATCGCACTGGTATCTGACTATTGCTTGTCTTGACTTCATCTTGCCTTGTCACCCCTCTCTGACTCTTGGGTATCTGACCTTCTTTATACCTGGCCTGCTCTCACCTCTGGCCCTACTGCATTTCACCGAGACCACCATCCAACCCCATCACCCCTGGTCCTGGTGTTCCAGGTATAGACACTAGCTGCTTATGTCCTGGGGATGACAACCCCCTGCGGAAGCTCTATGGGAAGCTGGGACAATGCTGGATGCAGCACTGGACCATCACCAGGCGTGGGGTAAGAACCACGACCATGTTCCAGATACTGACCAACTGGTCTGTCCTTGATTTGATGAGAGGATTCTTTTTTGGAGGGAGGTAGTCTACTTCTGCCTCTGCACATCAAACCAGGAAGGAGAAATGGAGGGGGATTCAGAACACGGAAAGCAAAGAGAGCTCCAACAGTCAAGAAGGTCTTTGCTAAGAGGTTTCAGCAGTTCCTTCCCATTAAGCTGGGACAGGAGGTAGGACTCAGGACAGGAATGGAGCAAAGCCCTGGTGACATGGCAAGGGAGCAGAGCAGGAAAGGTATGGAACCATGCTTGCCTTACTGAAGAATGAGGAGTCAAAGGTTTCCATGCCATCCACCACATCCTCATCCATGAAGCTGGGATACATAAAGCTCCGTTTGTTACCCCTCCGTTTGGATGCCAGGGGCTCCAGGCCCGAGCGTCCCTGCATAGAAATCAAAGTGGAACAGTGAATGGTTACGTTCCAACAACTGCCATCAAGCTGAGTAGGTCTGCCTCTTCTGCTGCGAGGACTGGAGCACGGGATCCATGAGAGCTCCTGCAGAAGTTCTCCATCCAGCCTGCAGCCCCATCCACCTCCCAACCTGTCCAAGCCCTTGCAGGGAGAGGAATGCTTGCTATCATCTCTGATCGGTGACTAGCTATAACAACAAGCCTTGCCAGAAAACAGCTTCTCAGTGCAGAAAGGTAGGGTTGATGGCTACTGTGGCAACACAGGGTGGCACTCCTGAGAAGGGGACCACCCACCCCAGGGGACACCCTGCCCTGGAATCATGGGCTGGGGAAGAATCTGATTTCCCGGGGCTAAACAAGGACTGGTAGCAGCAAATATATATAACACCAGTCCTCTATCAGTTGCATTGGTTGCCAACTGAAGTCCAGGCCCACTACAAAGTGCCCGTCCCTACATGATTTAGGACCTGAATATCTGAAGGAATGTCTCCATCCATATAAGCCTAACCAGACCCTAATATGTTAATAGTTTTTTTTTTATAAGATACTGTCCAATCTGTTAGTGTATGATGTCAACACAGTTGGTGCTCCTGCTGTTGGAATGGATGTTTTTATTGGTTGTCCTGAGATCTTGTATAATAGGGCAGCATACAAAAGCTTTTAATAAATAAATAAATAAATAAATAAGTGATGTTTTATTATTGAATTTGTTAGTATGTTGGGGTTCTGTGTTTTGCTGAGATTTTAACTGTGTAAACCGTCCAGAGAGCCATGTGGCTATTATGACGGTCTATAAAAACCCAAGCAAGCAAACAGTTCTGCACCCCTCACTACTGGGTTGTGAGCAGCCCTGACGATGCAGCCTTTTCAAGATGGACGAGGCATGAAAAGGAGGAAGTCACGGCAATTTCATGTTGCACCTGAAGCTCTTATCCTGCAGAAGTACAGAGCTGAGCCAGCACAGGGAAAGACTGGTTCAGTAAATCTGCTTTGCTGCCTGTCGGACATAAGCCAGTTATATGAATATTGGCGCTGACTCTCAGATGGACAGTTTTGCACAGGAAAAACGGGCTCTGTCTCCCAGGTGGAATGCTGCTAGTTCCACGCCTTGCACTTGCTCTCTGTGCCACTCAACAGTGCCCTCTGCTGGCTATGCTCATGTAGCAGGGACTGGCACTTGGATTGCTGCGGAACCTCAACTGTGCATCCACCATGCTTCCCAATTTAAACATTTATAAAACACGTGTAAATTTGATTATAATTTGACAGTACTCAGGAAAACCTCACTCTCCCTTAAAGACATGCAAAAATCAAAATAGTTAATAAGAAAACATCCACATCCCAAGTCAACACTGACTTTTGCATTTAATTACTGTTATTTTGATGTTGAAAAAGGTCTTATTTGTTTCCTTATTCATTTATTAGCTTTACATTAGCTTTACATCCCACCTTCTTCTTTTTTAAAAAAATAATTCAAAGAAGCTTACATCATTTGCCTCTTCCTACTCTTACTCTTATCCTCACAACAACCCTGTGAGGTAGGATGGCCTGAGAGCCTGTGACTGAGCCAAAGTTACCCAATTGGTTCCATGGCTGAGTGGGGACTTGAACCCAGATCATACGAGTCCCAGTTCTGTGCTCTTAACCACTACACCACACTGGCTCTTAAGAGATGCCACAATGAAAGAGAGTCTTTAAAAAGAGACTAAGGTCACTGATATCAAGCATCACTGAAATTAGGATTTAGCATTAATTAATACATTCTGCCAACTGAAGTCTAAGGGAAAATTCTAAGTTTGCCATGATTTGCAAACTAGGAATTTGCTTTAAATACCTGTTTCAATTCTGTGTATCACGCTTTTCTTTTTGGACCACAATGATTACAGTGGGACTATTCATCCCATGAGAAAGCAGGTGGCAGGGGTGGGGTTTGGGTGAATGTATCTTCATAATGATAAGTGCTGGATTTTAATCCATAGGAAAACACCACAGAAACAAAAATCCCTGTTTATCCACTATGGAGCTAGACAGCACTGACATCAGAATAGAGTAAGATTACTTGGAAGCAGCTGGAGGGAGAGAGTTTAGTAATAGTCCATACTAAAGTTCCATATACCAGCCACTTGTTGAACAGAGTTTGCACTGTACAGTTGATAACAGAAAGACAGAAGCAGCAACGCATGGAACCTCCTCGAAAGTAGGAAAGCAAGGGAGGGGGAGAGAGCTTGGAGCCCAAACTTACTCTGATCATAGCAGCAGCTGCCTTGAAACTCATATGGGCAACAGATTCCCTTTTCCGGCGGGGAAGACGGGTGTAGCCAGACCTTGTGCTACCAAAGGACGTTAAGGAGATGACTCCAGGGGTCAGAGGAGGCAGGACAGGATGTGGGGTGCGTGGGCGATCCACCTCATCTGGGTGCCGGAAAGGACGGCCTCGAGCCAAGGGGTCCACAATCTGAAAGAGCAAAATTACTGAGTGCCTAAGCTTTTGAGATGATTAAATTTCATTTTATATCCTGTTCTTCCTCCATGAATCTTAGAGCAGCCTGGTGAGACAGGTCAAGCAAATGACTCCTCTCCATCTAAGCCACATTTCTCCACCACTGTTAAAGTCAATGGTGTGGCATCACTCCACTGACTCTAACAGAGATGCCTTTAACAGAGGGAAAAATCTTGAGAGGGGGAAATCTCATTCTCCACCAAAGAAGTTGGGAGTAAGAGGGTCCCTGGCAATGGGTAGCTTTCCCCTGCAGTTCAGTCATTTTCTGGCAGCTGACCACTTTCCCCAGCCCCAACCTCCACTTGCCTTTTGGGAGGCGGGGAACAAACCCCAACTAAAAAGTAAATAATTATAAACTGATGAGGGCAAGAAAAGAAAGAATCCAAAGAAGGGGGTGGCTCCAGGATTTTATCCCAGCCCACACAGCCATCTGTGGTAGAGCACAAGACATTGTTCCAAAAGGTCAAATGTGCCTACAGCTACCCTTGCAAAGCTTGCCCAGCCTTGCACTAAGGCCACTCACTTCGCACGCACACCCCGGAAAGCTTGAGAAGCTACCAACACAAGTTGTTGGTTCCTTTCCTCTAGTATGGTCCCCTCAGGCCAGCAATGCTCCTGTGGTGTCCTGAGCAGAGGTCTTTCCCCACACCTGCTACCCGACCCTTCTAGGGAGAACCTGCAAAGCAGGGGATTTGCTGCTGAGCTGCAGTGCTTCTGCAGCATGCTCAATGTTCAAGTGGTGCTTAAGGCCTGGGCTGCCCCACAACCAGCCTCAGCACTCAAAGCCCCGGTGCTTCCCTGGCCCTTTCGTGCATCAATGCTTGAAGCAGCAGGAAGGAGCAGCCTACCTTGGGCATCTTCTGGGGCTTGGGAGACTCCGTGCCTTGGAAGGAAGGCACTTCTTGGCTGGGCAGCTCCATTTCTCGGTAGGGGGCTTTGAGTTTTCCATACCGCAGGCTGCAGTGCTGCAGGCTCTTGCGCTGCCAGTGCTGCCGCTTTCCATCCCAGTCGCTGCTGACTCCGAACCATTGGGCTGCTCCCCTGAGAGGGGGAAACGGCAGACCAACCCCACGTGAGAGTTACAGCCCCAAAAGGCCGAGGACACCGCTTAAAGGGTCAGTGGCTCGCAGCCAGCCCACTAAGCCCTTTTCTCCAGGAAATCCTGCCTGGGTTTGTGTTGTGGTGAAGGGGACCAGACAAAACACCTTCTGTTCACAACCCTCCCTCAACGTCACACCTCTCTTCCACCTTTGCTTCCCATAAGAAAGCATCAATTCAGGAGGGAAAGGGAGGATGGGCGCGTTTGCCTACCACCCTGCCCTGCAAGTCAGCGATGCTGCGGTGTGCGCTGTTCACCTTCCTTCCGCCTCTGTCCTCCCACAGACCTCCGGGCGAGTCTGAGGCAGGACGTGTTTTATCTCCTTCCCTTTGCAGGGGCCATGTTCCTCCCCTGCTCCCCCCGCCCCCAAGATTGCTCCTCATGATCTCCAAAGTGTCGGACGGGGACAGCCTCTTTCAAGCCCCTGAGCAGCTCATTAGAGCAGCCGTGACTGGCTTTTTTAGTTCCTTAGTGCCCGAGATTTGCACACGCTCGATTACATTTATATATGGTCAGGCTGATTTTATTTAAAACTTTTCCGCGTCCACCACTTTGACATCTCGGGACGGCTTACAAAAAGAACAATTTTTGGAGGCACAGAACTCCAGTCATTCAGAAAGTGGCCTTGCCTGGTCAATGTCTGGGATGGTGCCGCCTCTTAAAGTCCAGGATAAAGACATCAATAAAGCTAGGCTATTGGTAGGTTATTCTGTCATTTTGCTTCTCATTTGACAGCTGTCAAATTCAACCCTCTTGCCCCACCCACAAAAAACTGAGAAACCATTTTTTAAAAAATCAACGAAACCCCATGCAATATATAAACAAACAGGTGGATTAAAATTGGATGCAGGGAAGACCCAGCCTGTGACAGTCACTCCAAATTCCAAATACGCACTTGGTAGGGCAGCTGTCACTGGGGGCAGTCCAGGAGCAAGAGTGGCAAAGGGTTTTGTGTTTTTGTTTTTTGCTGCTCCACTCAAGCAGCTGGCTTGCCACTTCCCTGTATCCATAATGGGGTCTATTGCCAGGATCCAGATTACATGGAAACTCCTCACAGGTACAACTTTTAGCACAATCTCTGGGTGGGAAGTGGCCTGGGGAGTGGAGGAAACAGCAACCCACTGTGGCTAGACACCCATCACGGGCTGCTGTGCTGTGAAAACCCAATCAGTTTGTATCGTGGTTGCTAGGCGTCCTCCATCTGGAAGCACCCCTAGAAACACCTCCTTCTAACCCTTTCGAAAAGAAAATGGTTAGCAACAAATGATGGCCTAAAGATCATCATACTTGCGAATACTCTGGGACAGTGAAGTTTGTCTGTGTAAGCCAGGATGTTTTTCAAAGTTGCTGTCCTGCCTTTTCAGCCTGGATTCTTGGAGGCTCACGCTCTTTTGGAAAACTGGGTTTTTCTTCAGAAGCTAGAAGAAATACAGAACATGTTTGCAAGAAAGATGGAGAGGAAGCAATGACTGGCATACATGCTCTCCTTAAGGATCTACTTACTTCTTGAAACCTAATGCAAGGTCAGTGTAAATGGATCTTCTGCACCCTTCTCAGAGATGAAAGATACATATTATAATAATGGAAGGACAAACAGCCACCTTTGGTAATGCAATGGATCAAGAACTTACGACACTTTCCATTTTGGAACAGGTTATATTTAGGTGTAACTTACAGAAGGATAAATATATGGCTATTTGGCCTGGCTTTGCTGAAGCCTAAACATAACTCTGCTTATGAATAGTATGATGCCTTGCTTTATATAAAGTATCTAGGGGTATACATTTCATCTATATAAATTGTAACTGAGCTATTCAAATTTCATGGAAGAAAACTAACATTTTATTTAATTATTTATAATTGTGTGCTTTTCTTTTCTTTTTGTTCTACTAAAATTCACAATTAAAATTGGTGAAAAGCTTTGAGAATCAGTGGAGAAGAGAGAAAGAAATGGATTTGGCACCAATATGCATCCTGGGGCCCTTTGGATGTTTTGTGCTACAACTCCCAGAAACCACAGGCAGCATGGCCAATAAATATGGTAGCTGATGTCCAAACTATTTGGAGAAGAACAGCTTGTGTAGTCCTGGATGGATAGGTGGAGGTTCCTAACTAGGAGAAATGTGAGATTCCAGAATACTTGTAGCAGAGAGGCATCTAGATGCTGCAAGACTGCATGCAAAGCAAGTGCAATCTTAAGGCAACCCAACTGGCTCATTATCTTTGATGGATTAGCATATTCAGTTTTGAGAAGGAAGTTCCTTTTCAAGTTAGATCAGGGCAAATTTGGGAGGTTTGGAAGCAGCTGCGTACATGCATATCGCATACTGATGTTTTTTCCTTAATGTCACATGCAGTAACTATAGAAAACCAAAAGTCAATATCTGTTTGCAAACACCCTGAATTTGACCCTGCTGGTGCTTCATAGCCTTTTTGGCAGCAATTTTAAAAAAACAACTACTACAAATCGTGTACGTTCCTGAAAGGGTTACACATTTTGGTCAGACACAAGCAAGGGGCAGCTGGGGTCAGATGTTTCCCACTCATCATGCGTAATGCACTCAGGCAGAGAGTAAGCATCAAGATTCTCAAAGCACCCCTTCCATGCACCAGGTCATCAGGGGAATTAAAAGGCTGAAAACAATCTGCAGTAACTGCAGCCATCCGTACCTGTGTCTGGTTGCTGTCGTCCTCTGTCTCCACTGGAGGAATTGTGATGGAGAGGTTGGGCGGCTTCTTGCTCTGCAGGCGGCTGCTGCCGGTGCTGGAGCGGCTGCTTCCATTTTTGTTACTGTCAGTCATCCTGGACAGGGCAATTTAGGCAGGCTGAGGTAAGAAGAAAAACAGGGGTTGTACTTGAGCCAAAGCCTAAGACTAAATGGGCAAATTAAAACTCAATCTGTCAGAGAGAGATTTGTTTAATGCCTTTATTTACCACAGTGCCTAAGTGGAATCACATGTTAGGCATCCTCTGAGCAAGAATAAATCTGCTTTAAGAAAGAGCATGGAAAACTTGCACTGCACCAAGGACCAATGTAAAAATCGATCAGTTCTGCATGCCTATATATATATATATATATATATATATATTGTTTAATTCAATTGTAGCCTGGTTAGTGAGTCGCTAAGGCGGCTTACAGTGATTGAACCAAAGCAGGACTACAGACCATTTTCAGCCCAGGGATCCAATTCCAATCTGGGACGGGCTCCAGGAACTAAGTTCCAGTGGTGGATAGTGCCCAGGGCCACTGGTGATTCTTAACAACACAGAAGATTGTTCAATGCTATAGCAACCTATACAGAGGTAAGTCTCACAGAATGGCTCTCCAGCCTCCAAAGCACAGCTGAGTTCCATGCCACCCAACTGGATTGCCCTTAAATACCCCCCTCCGCCATCTATGAGGTAACAACAGGAGCTGCTTTGTGGGCCAGATGTGGGAACCTGGAGCGAATGGATGCCAGAGCAGAGCTCCTCCATCCCTGAATTAAAGCCATGAATGTGTATAGTGTCTGGCTTGAAACAAGCAGGGCCACAGCTGGGCCTGGGAGCCGGTTTAGAAGATAAGAAAGCCATACTGGATCAGACCAAGGGTCTATCTCAGGGGTCCTCAAACTTTTCCACCAGGGGGCCAGTTGAAAGCTGCCGGTGCTGGGCGCGGGCCAGAAAGGTGGTGCCGGAGGTGCAGGCGGGCCCGTGTGGGGGCAGTGCATGCAGGAGCATGCACCGAGGTGGGGTGCATGGCGAGGCAAGGTGGGGCGGGCAGGTGCACGCGCCCGGCGAGGGGAGGCACGGCATGGGTGGGGGCGGACATGTGCTGCAAGGCGGGCGCATGAGGCAGCAGCTTGCTCACTTGGTGCTCGTTTTCTCCAAGCGAGCAAACAGCTGCCTCCCTGTGCACGGGGCGAGGTGGGCGGTGGCAGGCGCACGCATGGGCATGGCGGGTCCAAATGGGCATGGTGGGCCGGATCTGGTCCCCGGGCCGTAGTTTGAGGACCCATGGTCTATCTAGTCCAGCACTCCACACACACACACACACCAGCTGTCCACAGAATTGCTGAGGCAGGATGTGTGCAAGACCTCCTTCTGTACTAATTCCCCAGTGACTAGTGCATGCAGCCCTGCCACCTCTGGTGAAGGAGAGCTAGTAGCCACAGGCTAGTAGCCACAGGCTCTTCACCTCCATGAAACTGTCCAATCCCCTTTTTAAAAAAAAAGGGGGGGGAGATGGAGAGAGGGATTGAGCCTGTTCTACATAGAAACGCATGCACATGATTTGAATACAGTGGGGGTGCACAATCTCTTTCAGACCAAGGGCTGAATTCCATTTCAGAGCATCCCTTGGGGGCCACATTCCCATGATAAACAGAGCTAAATCCTCATCCCCCCCCCCCCCCCGCAAAAGAGCTGCAGACTTTTGCTTAAAGCCGTGCTGCCAGCAGCAAAGTCTCGGGACAATGGGAGAAAACACTGCATGAAAGGGGAGAAACCACAAATGTGGTAGAGGGAAAGAGGTGAAGTGAAGATGAAGGGACGGGGCCAGGGGAAGGCCAGCCCAAGACCTTTTGCTCATGAAGGTGAACGTCAAGGTGGCCACCTGAGTTGAATCTTCTTTCAGCACTGGCAATTGCACAGCACCCTCCTACTCCACCTGAGAAAAGCAGGTTCGCTTGGGTGGGGTTAACAACAAGGCAGGTCCCACGGAAGGCATGTGGCTCCTGTCCCACAGTAGGGGACGGCCGGAGGGCTGCTGCTTCCTCCACAACACTCACTGTTATCACCTGAGGTGACTGCCTCATTCTGCCTAGCGTAGGGGACACTCCAGATCATGCTCGTGATAGATTTCATAAAGGGCCTTTCGCCTTTGAAGAGAATGAAACAGAACACACACGTGTGTGCATGGTAAGAATTCAGATAACCAAAATTAACATTAAAGGTGACTTGCACTAGTTTTTTGAGGTTTGAAAGCAGCATCCTGGCTATTCAACAGAATTCTGAATAGCTGGGAATTGGGAGAAATGTATTTGACTCACATATGAATAATGTAAAGCAATGCAATTCATGCTTCTCAGACAAAAATGTGGACCAAAGTGTAGTTATGGCTTGGTATTTGCAATTCTTCAAATTTAGCAATGCAGTTCTCCAATCAAGAAATATGTATAAAGATGCCTATATCAGGAGAAAGGGCATACAAAAATGCATACACAGGCAAAAATAACTGACAAAATTGCAGTACATCAAGGAAAACTGTTTGGCAAAATTATGTATTTTACATAAACACTCACAAAAGCAAATTTGAATTTGTATGTGGACTTATGCAGAGATTCTCATATTGGGGAGAACTGGGACACAATGAACTTAAATTGTGAAAAACTGGAAACTAAAATTTCCATTCTTCCTTAATAAGCAGAACCATTTGGAAAACAAAACACCAGAAGAATATCAATTAAAGCTTGCAAACTCTGACAGTCTGCCTAAAAAGTTTCACATGACCAAGGTTCACGCATACAATTAATAGCTCCAAAATAATATGCAAAAGCTTTCAAGTTGAGTTTATTCTGACAACAGTCAGCAATAACTTAACAGCCACTCAGGAACAGACATGACACTGATTACATATTGTATTAGTTACATGAGATCTAGGAAAGAATCAGAGCACTAGCCCCAAAATCCACGTTGGAGAGCCACGTGTAACCCTGGACCTTAGCCTCAATGGCAACGTTAATTAAGTGTTGGCAATCTAGAATCTAACAGTAGAAAAAGAACTTAATCACTTAATCACTTATCTCCACTTCTGGACACCCACCAAGAATGGAAGAGTCCTGCATAGGGCTAAGAAGTAATGACTACTGATGATCCCTGAATGCCCAATCATCATCTTTGTGCCTCTGCTGCCACCTAAAGCAAAGTTCGAAAATGATCCTTGCTTTATACCACTCCAACTTCATCTACTAACTTCCAACACATTGCTTCTGGGGTTTGCTCCTTGCTACGCTGTCACCAAACCAAGTTGACCCATGTGGAAAGGCCAACAAGTTCAGCAAGAGCCTTTCCAGCTGGGATGCATATAACACAGATCAAGAAAAGTACTGGCATGTCCAAGAACTCTCTAGGGTGGTTAACATGCAGAAACAAGGAATTGATCACAGGCAAGAAGGCCTCCTTCAGAAAATGAAGTATTGTCAAAATAAAGAGAAGGGAACACAAGTATCAACAAAAGAAAGGGCAAAGGGATGCCAAAAAGGGCACCCAAGAAGACTATGTTGTGAAAAACATTAAGAGGAGGAGGAGGAGGAGGAGGATGACAACAACAACAACAACAATCTTTAAGAACATCAGAAACAGGAAGCTGATGAGACTGCAGAATGAAAAAGAAGTTTAGAGCACAAGTAATTACAAAGACACTGAATTATTTGCATTTGCTTCCACTATAGAAGGTGCAGAGCAAAACTGACCTTTCAGGAGTTTGCTGAAGAACAGATCATGGTGACCACAGATGACTTTCTAGATTTTACTGAGAAATTGAAAAGAAACAAATCCAAATATTTTGGATTACAACTTCTAGCAACCTTCAGTCAGAATTCCTGGCTGGCAATGCTGGGAGTTGTCCACACATTTGCAGGGTACCCAATTAGGGAAAGCTGCACTACTTAATTTTAGAACGTCAGAGAACTGTACATGAAATGCCAGTACAGAGTGCATCTTTCTTCCACTGAGGTGGCTGGGGCATCTACAGTTTCAGTGTCACTATGGACATACATTTCAGTGACATATACATAGTTCTTCATACATTTGCTATGAATAATCCCTTGAAAAACAGTAATTACAACTGGCACCAGGTCACAGAAGGCTGATGTAACATATGATGTAAGGCTGTGGAAATGGGTGGGGGACAACAGGATGGCATTCAATGTGGGTAAATGCAAAGTCTTGCACTTGGGACACAGGAATAGGTGTCACAGGTACAGGATGGCTGCTTAGCTTTATATCTTTTCTGGGTAAGTTGGTTGAAAGCATTAGCAAGATAATGTCACACATATAAAAGAACAACTATCAGAGTTTCAGCAAAGATAAATTCTATTTCATCAAAGATTTAGCATTATTTGAATTTATCAGTAAGCATTTGGATGAGGTGATCCAGTAGATATTATTCACTGGGACTTTAAAAAAGCTTTCAACAAAGTCCCTCATAAAAGACTCTTGTGCAAACCTAGCCACCATGTGAATAAGAGGACACGTCCTCTTATTGATCAGTAACTAGTTAATGAACAGAGAGAAGAAAATATCAATAAATGGACAGTTCCTAGAAACATAGAAAAAGTCATGCTGGATTAAACCAAGTGCCCCTTCCTTCCTTCCTTCCTTCCTTCCTTCCTTCCTTCCTTCCTTCCTTCAAAACATTCTATGCCGCCCCATTCGCAAAAAGCCTCGGGACAGCTTACAAAAATCCCATCTCGTCCTGCACTCTGTACACATGGTGGCAACCAGGTGTCCGCAGAATTGTTCAAGCAGGATGGGTGTGAGTCCACTGCCTGCTCAAGCACCTCATCAATTGGTTCATTCCGGCTTGCCACCTCTGGTGAAGGTGATAGCACATAGCCAGCAAGGCTAGTAGCCACAGACACTCTTCACCTCCATGCACTTGTCCAAATCACCTTTCAAGGCCTTCTAGATTTGTGGCCATCACTACTTCCCATGGTTGTACATTCCATCCTTCAACTATTCTTTGTGTGAAGAAGTACTGTCTCTTGTCTGTCCTAAACCGTATTAGCTTCATAGGATGACCTATGCCTGCTGTGGGAGAGGAAGAATGTCTTCCTCTTCATTA